TCAGAGCCATTGAGAAAGAGCGCGGCGAGGGCTGCGCCCCGGCCGTGATCATCGCCCTGACGGGCCTCAGTAGCTCGCGCGATGAATCTGAGGCGCTTACGTCGGGTGTCAACTTGTTCCTCACGAAGCCGGTTTCCTTCAAAGAGGTCTCCAAGTTGTTGTCAGAATGGGAGGATAAAGAAACGGTGGAACGGCGTTTGTCGGGATCTGAGTCTGCATCTGAATGAAACGAAATACACATCTCACAACGGCAGGCGTGCATTCGACCAACTTTTGGTGGTTTTTGGGAATTTTCTTGATTTTGTTTCCAATCATTCTGTGTTGGGATTACTCCGTACACGGATATGAGGCATGAGTGATACCCTTATCAGGAATCTGGCGTTTTTCTTCGGCTGGCGTTCATCTTTGGCTCGCATGATTGCGATGCTACGGGTCGGATTGGTCTATTATCTTGAAATTGGGGTCCGAAAAAGGTTTTGATTGGATTTCAGGACAGGTCTTATATAATATATGTATTGATTTACTGCTACGTGGAGATCATCTACCGATGATGAGAGAGGTGGATATTGGAATGTATGTATGTATTGTATTCATAGTATAACCACGACGGCTTGATGACCGGGGCTTTGTCTACAGTACAACGATTTTGCTGGAGTCGGCAGTTGCTATAAATATTTGTTCACGCTGTCAAAATCCTTTGTTGTATCCCCTGAATGATGGGGCAGGTAGATGTAGGTACTACTCCGAACCGGATCCAGCCTTGCATAGATGTCTGTATATGGTATTGTCCTATCATGGCGGGGTGTTTGTCAGACGCGAACGTCCTGAGGCAGGAAATTCGGCAACCTTCCTTCTTAATGAACCTAAGGTACCCGCCCGCAAGCGGCCAGCCACCACGTGATGTGGAGGCGGCGTTGCCCCTTTGCGGCCGGTGTGGAAACACGGCCAGCCCAGGCTCCATCGGGTCTTTCGTTCTCGCTCCTCTTTTGAATCTCCTGCATCCCAACCCCTCGGTCTCTTCCTTCTTCCTTCTTCCTTCTTCCTTCTTCCTTCTTTCTTTATCTCGTGCTCTCTTTGGTTTTAATTTCTTGTTGTTGAGTTGACGCCATCTACCGGGATCGCCGTTCGATTTCAGTATTACAATTGCCTCATTCGCGTTCCTTCTCACTCCCGCGTCAGAGTTGCTCTCGTGGCTTGAGCAACCAACCACTGTCTCTAGATTTGATTCTTATTTCACGGCCGAATCGCTTCATGCGTGCTCAACTCTAGCTGTGGTCATCGTATCATTAGTTTTTTCAACCGACATCTCTTTCGCGACCGACGTTTTGCATCATGAAGGTCCACCATCTATCGTCGCTTCTTCTTCTTCTCCCCGCACTCTCAGTCGCCGTCGCCGATTCAACAACAGTCAGTGGGAGCCTGCAAGATGCATCCACTGCCAACGCTGTTGATACAGATGCACTCGCTGCTCCCAAAATTGCCTCGAAAGGGACGCTGGACGCCCCCATTGACGGCAAGGATGGCCGGCCTCACGCCGGTCCTTGGGTGGAAACAAGCGCCGAGCGGGATCGCAAAAAGTCAGGCTCGGGCGTTTCAATGGACGACGTCACCGTGGCCGATTACAAAGCGGCAGAACAACTTGGGCCTGACGGCAAGCCGATCCCGTATTCAAATGACGGCGTGATGGACGACCCTCATCGGACGGGTCCAAAAGAAGGAACTCGAGGGACAGAGGGCGGCGTCACGGAGAAGATGAGGGAGAATCCGTTTCCCGGCGAGAAGACGCCGGATAGTCCTAAGGAAGCTCCGCCGTTGCCGCACAGCGAGCAGCAGAAGCTGCCCACGCAGATTGAGGCCACTGAGGCCAAGGACCCCAAGAGCTTTACTGCGGATTCAAGCCTGGGTCGACTCGAGGTAAGCGGGGACGCTGGTATGATTCTTAATGGAAAAAGGGCAAGTGCGCTAACATTGATCCAAGAAACCCGCCGACTTGCCTGAGAAGCCCCATGACATCCCACCTCCCAAGTCCCCCGCAACGGTGAATGAGAGCCCGCTCGGTCTGGATAAGGATGGCCACCTGCAACCACAATCCGGAGACATTCAGGAGGAAACTGCGTTCCATTCGCTGCTGTTCTCGTTTACCATGATCGTGGTTTCGGAGATTGGCGATAAGACATTCTTGGTGGCCGCCCTCATGGCGATGCGTCACCCGCGCCTGCTCGTTTTCTCCGCGGCATTCGGCGCGCTGATGATCATGACTGTCCTTTCCGCTGTCCTGGGTCACGCCGTGCCCTCGTTGATTCCTAAGTCTCTCACTAAGCTTCTGGCAGCGGTCCTGTTCTTCGTGTTCGGGCTGAAGATGTTGAAAGAGGGCCGCGAGATGTCCCCCGACGAGGGTGTCGGCGAGGAAATGAAGGAGGTTGAGATGGAACTGGAAGAGAAAGAACAGCAACAGATGCGCATGAACCGTCGTCGCTCTTCCGTGACTCCTCACGCCTTGGAGGCCGGTCGCGTGGGCCGGCGCAAGTCCCGTTCATCTGGCAACCGCCTCCCTTCGCCTCCTGAGAGTGTCTCATCTTCTTCCTCGCGTGGATCGTCACCTTCCCCCAATCGCTGGGGCGATGTTCTCAATGGCATGAACAACCTCTTCTCGCTTCTTCTCAGCCCCGCCTGGGTGCAAACCTTTGTGATGACCTTTTTGGGTGAATGGGGCGACCGTAGCCAGATCGCCACAATCGCCATGGCTGCGGGTCAGGACTACTGGTGGGTCACCGTCGGCGCTATCACCGGCCATGGACTCTGCACTGCTGCGGCAGTGATTGGAGGAAGTGCCATTGCTGGCAAGGTCAGCATGCGTGTTGGTAAGTTTTTTTGTCTCTTTTGTTCTGTCGGTACGGGCAGAATGCTAACGTGTCAACAGTCACCCTGGGCGGTGCTACTGCGTTCTTGGTTTTTGGCGTCATCTACCTCATCGAAGCGCTCTACTAAGATCCTTCCTCTTCCTTTCTTCCCTTTGAGCCTTGCTGCTTATGGCACGCTGGGTCCCTTGATACGCATATACTTGATAATGCATGCATGTATTCTCTTAGCCTGTCTGGCATGTTTTAATAAAAGATGATGTCTGTCGAAATCCATCTTAAGGTGGATGGCATCTACGGCGTTGATTTATGAGAGCTGGTATTGGCTGAATTTACCTGGATTTAGAATGAGTTGCATTTCAATCTCATCTTGCTCTACCAGCAATTCCCTCTTTGTCTTTTGGCCGCCTGGCCACAACTTGGTCCTCATATCTGAGTTCAGTGGCTGACGATTCGATGTCCTTCAGTTCGTCCCGTCGTCGTATGGCTTTGTATTAGACTTTGTGGCAGCTCCTCCTTTGCTAAACAACTCAGCTGAGTAATTCTGCCTCGAGTACTGCGTAGTCTGTTCCAGAACAGTTCACTCATAACTTCTCACCTGATCTCCTTCAGTAGTTCCTCTACTTCATTTTGAATTTAGCCTCCGTGATGATAAGGTCTCACTGGCTTCGTGTGAGGGTCGTTGGAAAGCAATGAATGAACATAATTAGAATCGGCATATCCGCCGTGCTGGAGGCGGCGGGAACCGTTTGGCTCAATTTTGTACTTGAGCCGAATTGACAAGTATCCGAAAAGGCACAATTTCTCAAGAACCAAAAATGGGATTCTTGTAACTGTTGGTGAGGTAGTACTGTAGGCTCTAATATACATCTTACCACTCTCTGTATGTTCAGAAAATCTTATAGGAGTGAGTTATTTGAGACTGAATCGTCTATAATACTGGGTATTGCACAGACAGACGCGGCTGAAACAAAACTTATAGTCGTTGTTCACGACGCAATTGCTCGAATATTAAAAACAGGATCATTTTGATCCTTGGTAGAACAGTGCTTTAGGCTCTGAAATATATTCCAGTGCCCTTCGTAGTTTCAGGAAAACTCATGGGCTGGAATTAGTTGCGGCTGAGTCTCCGAGAATACTGGATATTGCACGGTTGGACGCGGCCGAAATCAAACCTATGACTCTTAAACGCAACGCAATTGCTCGAAAACTAAAAACAGGATTGTTTTGATTCTTGGTAGACTGTTGCTGTAGATACTAATTCATAATCCAATATTCTTTGTTTGTCTGGGAAAACTCATAGTGTCAAGTTATAAAAGGCTGAGTCTCCTATAAGGCGGGCTATTGCACGGATGAACACGCCCACAACTCCTGCTGTTGCTGTGCTATGTCTTCTGTGGTGCAAAATTTGGAAACAGGGACTCCCTCAAAGTCCATGCTGGAGCACTAGAGAGGCTGGTCTATACTAATAGACTCTTTCATAGCCTCCAGAATCCCCCGGGGCCGAGTAAGCACAGGGTGAAGTGTGCTTGGTTTCATTGCCCCTGATTCAGAACCAGGGCTGTCGACGTTGCTTCTCTCGGTGGTCTGGCTTGCAGAGCAAGCTGCATCTGTAGAGATCTATACAGTGCTCATAGAGAGACGCATCTCACTTCATGCGATAGCTTTTCATCACTTCTATCGGGCAGGCAACACTGTCTTTCCCAAAAGGGAATTATTGTCCAAAGGCCGGCAGTTCTAAGATCCAACATAAGGGTTTACATTAGGGTTTACATTGTGGTTTCACTCACCGCCCGCATTCTGCCGCTGACATAAGCCACTTACATAAGCCCATACCCTACTTAGTGCAACCGCTTACCCCAAGTCTGTCTCCTAAGCGTTTGGCACAATCCAGTTCTTTCCATTTCTCCGCTCCCGGGCCCCCTCCTCTCCCAGCCATCGACCACTTCTCTTCATCACAACAACAACCATCGGAGCTGGTGGGAAACACTCTTGTTGCATCTCAGTTTTCTACTTCCTTTCGCTGCAAGGGGGATTTAGTAGGGAATACCACTTACATTTTCCCGTCCCGCCTGACCGCCTTCCTGTTTACACGGGTTCTTCTCACTGTGTGTTGTGGTCATTGTTTTGGGTTCGATATCTATGGCGCGGTCGCGGTCGCGCCAGGTGGAAGGACCACCTTCCACCCCATCATATTCTTCATCCCTGCCGCTGATGAAGGAAGGGTTGAACGGACATGGCTTGAGTTCCGGTGCTTTTGGTCAAGTTCTCAGGAAAACAACAAGTCCCGTGACCCGGCGAGTGACCAGGAGTCAGAGTCGGGAGCTGGGGCATCGTCGTCGACCGCTAGTTGATGATGAGGACGACGCTGATCATCAATTGGATAATGATGATGATGATGCGGCTACCTCAGGCAAGAAGGGGCATGCAACCGGTGAGTGAATGGCTTTTTATTCATTTCTCTTCACCTTACTCTGTATATCAATGTGGAGGGTGTGTGGTTGTTGTTGTTGATGTTGTTTGTGTGGGATGGTCGGTTGTCTTTGTTTGTCGTATTCATGCCGGTTCTCCTTTGTTCTGCCTTGGGCCTGTCCCGACCCTCCTGTGTGACCCTTAAGCTCACTGTCTTTTCGCTTTGTCAGCCCTTGCTGTTGTCGTCGAGGAATCCCCTCAAAAGTCGTCGCCTCTGAAGCCGATGGCTTCGCGACCTGAAACTCAGGATCAGGTCATCCCTGAAACACCAGATGATGAGATCAATATCTCCGGGACCACTATCTTACCCTCGGAGCCGGACTTGGACCTTGACCCGGGAAAGATGATTGAGGCTTTCCCCAAGTTATGGGATGCGGCCGAGGATATGCTCGAGTTCTCGGTGCCCAGCCCTTTCGAATTGCTCGAGTTTACCAAATTGCTTCAGAAGCTGAATGATCCCCAAAGTTTGGAAAGCTGGCGGCTGGCTCGACAGACGTCCAACCTCAGAGAGGAAGCTAGGTACTTCGGAAGTCAGCCGTACATTGACGTCGAGCTGGTTGATGACATTTTCAAATCATCGGCAACAGTGGCTGAGAAGCTCCATGAGATTGAGGGCCAGTGGGATCCAGCCCCAGCCTTGCAAAAAGCTAATTGTGCGCGGTTTGTGCTCGAGGTTCTCCTGTGCGAACCCGAATCAACCTCATCTCTAAAGCAGGCGATCCGGATTCTTGACAGCATATTTCCTTTGCCTTTCACAACCAGGCTCGTACCAGCGGGCCAGAGAAGATCTGCGGGTGATAGTCTGTTGGAAAAGGAGACCTTTGATCTCGCTCTAGAACTGCGTACCCAGTACACGATCATGCAGCTGGAGGAGAAGTATCAGAATGATCCGGATTTTGAGCCTTCCAGAGTGCTGGAAGAGGGCTTCTGCATTGAGCTGGCGAATGAAGAGGGTTTAGTTCTCCGAGGCTTCGAAACCGAGGCGCTGAGGGGTCCTAACGGAGAAATCCCACCAGGGCTTGCAGCTGAGGTGGCGTATCGCTACCAGGAAATGGAGGCTCTTTGCTTGGTGGAAGACACCATCGACATTGAGGGGCTCAAGAAAAACTACGGATGGCGGAAGTTCGTCCTACGCGCTGCCCAATGGGTCTGTAAACGGACCGACGAGATCAATGCCGATATGCGACGACCATTACAAACTTACAAGGATGTTAAAAAGGCGTTCTTTGCCAGACCTAAGACGCGCTATAGTCTGGGCAGCACATTTTCTTCGACCCCTAGGATGCGCAACTCCGGAACGCCGTCAACTGCCCGGCATCCGACGCTGTCTATTCCAGGGACTGCCACGACATCGAGATATGCTGTTGTTACGCCCTCGCTGGCTCGAGATGGCCCGCGAAATATCCCTGGCAGTGTGGTCTCGGCACGAAGTACGCGGTATAGTGCCACTCCTTCCAGCCTTAGGAATGAGTACCATACTATACCCGAAACTCAACCGGTGGGCAGAAATCCTCATTGGGAGTCAGGGGAGTCCGCAAGTCCCGAGGCCCGCAGATCACTGCAGTTAGAATCTCCTGTTAGACCGTCTGCAAAATCCCTGCAGAGGACTACTGGATCTCCTGTCGAGCACGATCTTAGTCGGACTCTCGTGAGCCCAGAGGTTCAGAGACAATTGCAGCCGGAGCTGCCTACACCACGGTCTGGAAGTATGGAGCAGGCTGAAGGTGTGAATGGCTCCGATACGCTGCGCGTTGAACAGCAAGCCAGAGCGCCGGAAAGAGCTACCCCAAAACCTGCTGAACCTGCTAGGTCTTCGACACGCGCAGAGCCCGTGCCTGTCACTACTAGGCCGGAGAAAAGTGTCAGTAATACTGTCGAAACGACCCGGGCTAGCAACAACATTCCGCCAAACTCATTCAAGAAGCCTCCGCCGGTCGATGGAGAACGGAGGAAGTCCCTCAAATCCAAGCCGTGAGTCTTCCTTCTGCTGTTTGTGTTGTCCTTGTTCTAACGTCCTGAAGAGTGTTTCTGAATTCAACCGCCGTGGATCAATTGCGGCAACGACAACTGCGGCTCAGCGCTGCACCCAAGAATCCCGGAACTCCCCGGCAGACGGAGCCTCTCCAGCCAACAAACCGTTCCGCGAGGCAGCAGTTCACCTCAGAAAAGAGCTCTGAAAATCGCCAGGTAGAGCGCCCGAGGGCAAACACACGGGAACCGGCCCCTGAGGAACCGTCCGAAATCCCAGCATCGCCCGATATGACGTCTACATTTGTTCAAGACGAGGTCGAAATCGAGGTGACCGATGGCCAACTAGACATTGGTGATCCTGGGGAGTCTCAATTGGAGAGGTCCCATAGTCCCTCGTTTGTTCGCAGCTCCCGTCCGTCGTCCCTTCGAGAGGAGGCATTGCAGCAATCTAGGCACGGTCAAGGAAAAGACACGAATAATGATGTCAGTCAGGTATCAAACGTGTCTCACGAAGAGATCCCACGGTCTACGGCTGCGCCTCGCGACTCACGTGCCCTGTTTATTGATCGGCAGACTAATGCCGCACGTGTGTCCCCCATCAGTCAGGGACTGGGTCCTCGAAGCGTCGAGCGTCGGCGCGACGAGACATCCCGCAAGCGTGGGCGAGAACCCGATGAGATTCCTGAAAGCGATGCTGAGTTCGAACACGACGACCGCGAGGTATCCGTAGAGCGCCAACGAGCCAGAAAGCCGATCCAGTCACGCAGCAAACGTGCCCGTCGAGAAAATCAAACAGAAAATGCGACGGAGCGCTCGAGCAATCGTGCTCAAGAGATACACTCTAGTCCACTTAGAAGGTCGACTCGATCCGCTCAATCGGTCTCACCAAATCCACCATCCGCCTCGGCCCCTTCCACGCAGAAAAATAAACCAGGGCGGCGGCCTACGGTGCGCTGGGAGCCTGGGCAATCAAAGCGACTAGACAGGCTTATTACTCAGTATGGACAGGACTGTCTAAGGGGCACCCAATTCGACTGGAAAAAAATCAGAAGACATGACGCGATCGAGCCTCTGCAGCCAGGTGAAAAAAGGTTTATTGACAAAGATGAGGGGCAGGTCAAAGACAGAGCACGGAATATGAAGAATCATTTCATAAAGTACGCGAAGCCATTCAGTCGCTTGTTAATGTAAATGGGCTAATGGCGCACAGGAATAACATAACACCTCTTCCTGGCTGGGAAGGCGTCACCGCCAGTGCAACAGTTTTTGATCGAATAAAGCCGCGGTAGGACTTTGGCTTAAATTGCATTGAGCCGTTGAGATGCTGCGGCCATTGGAGTGGCTTGTGCAGTCATCTGGCCGTGTGGATTATGATTTATGATGTATTCCTCATACCCTTTGGGTGTCTCCATTCTTCTCGGGTCTTGTTACTGCGGTCGGTGCGCGATTCAGTAGGGTTGGTCAAGGTTGGAATGCGACTAGCCTTCTGGGTATTGGAGACTATGTCTTTCTAATCTTCTATCGGGCCTTGTATGGTAGCGCGCATACCAATATGTCTTCTAATCTATGACTACTGTAGTAGTTTTCACAAAGCAGGGAGCATATTTTGAGGACAATACTGATGGACAAACGTACCACGTCAGTCAGACACTCAAGCTGCAGCGCTGGTGTCATTCAATCTCGCTGCTGAGGCTGTGGTTGTAGGTGGATGAAGTCGTCCTCTGAGGTAGTGCCCTCCATCGAGGTGGTCACTCCGGTGGCTCTGCCTACAGACGACTACTGGTATCCTTCTTCCCCCGATCAAAAGGCCCTCCCTGTCCGAGTAGATTACATTCCGTGCTGTAGGCTCGGCAATATGCCGTGAGTGTACAGGTTAGTATGTGGGGGGGTGGTTTCCAATTGTGTTTGTTTGTATGGGGTTAATATTGGGGGTAGTGGTTCGGGTGTTGGGATAAGGGTTAGAATTGGACTCGCTCGAGGTTGGGATTGGGGTTGTTTTGGGGAGAAGGGGTGGGTTTTCTTTTTATTTATTCTCTTGTGTCTGCATGCAGACTGTGCAGTACCGACTATACCTGTCATGCCTTCGGTTCCTATGTCTGCACCGTGCAATCATCTCAGGGAGGCTCGGGGCTCCTTTGTATTCCTTCCCAATTGGCATGATCCTTCTCTCCGTAACTCTCTCGCATAACTAGTCCCTTGCACCACTGCAGCAGCAGATAGTTATCATCCATCGCATTAAATCCTATGTCCAGACATCCAACCATCCAAAACATGCCCTCAACTAAAATCCCCAGTACAGTACACCCTCATCCCTCCCTCCCCAAACCCCCAGCCCAGCCCAGCCCATCCCCATCCCCATCCCCATCCCCATCCCCACCACCCACAACCCACCCCGACAACCCAACAACCGGTGACACCATCACCCTCTCAATCAAACACACCCCCCCACCGCCTCCAAAACCACCTCATCCACCAACACATCCCACACATACGAACTGCCCGGCGACGTACACGACCCTGTCACCGTCAACACATCCTCCGCCCGCCGCCCCCGCCGCCGATACGACCCACGCACCGTCGTCCACCCCGCCCCCGAGGGCTCCAGCAGCTGCGAGACAATGAGCCCCGTCGTCGCGTTCGCCCCCATATACGCGTCCACGAAACAGTACTCCACCCCCGACGAGGCGTCCGGGATCTGGATCTGCGCCTGGAAGTCGTACACCGTGCCGCGCTGGAGGCCCCTCACCGTCTGCGCAATCGAGTGCCCGCGGTTGCCGTAGTCGGTTTTGAGGTCGCTGGTCCGTCCTTGCTTTAGTGCTGTGCGGTAGGTACTTGTGATGGGATGAGGGAAAAGGGCGGGGGAAAAGGGCAGGGGGGAAAGGGCAGGGGGGAAAGGGCAGGGGGGAAAGGGCAGACATACAGGTAATAATTCCCATCGTAGGCGGCGGTCGCGTTCGTGACGGTGGCGATGTTCACGTTGGGGACGGTGGTGAACCACGGGGATAGGGTGCCGGTTTCGAAGGAGGGGTTGGTGAGGAGGTTGCACGACATTTTTGGGTTGGGTTTGTTTTGTTGCTAGATGGATGTTGGGGGAGTGGAGTGTGCTGTGTGTGCAGATTTTTTGGGGGGAGATTGTGGTTGTTGTGTTGCTGTCCCTGATGCTAGAGCAGAGCATGGTTCTTATACTGCCGTCGATATCAGAGTATGTTACGGAGTATGTTTGGTATAGTACAAGTAACTATAGGGTCCGTCCTTCAGCCTCCACACCACCAGACAAGAAGACCCTGGTGGATTGTTCTTCCCACCGGATGGAGCGGGAATCCCGCTGTTCGGGACGCCTGAATTTTTCTATTTTCAGCGGTCAAGTCTGTACCCTGAAATCGGTCTACTCCACTGTGTCCTCGTATCTTGGCTCGCTTTATTGGTCATGTTTGGGGGAGGCCGAGGGGGGCCAGGCGGCTTCGTCGCGGAGGTTTACTACAAAGTTTGTAGTACAAACTGCTACCGTTCCATGGCGAAGCTTGGTTTTCCGTGCGGCGTGAGGAAACTTGACATTGTCTGATTCTTGGTTCTGATGCTTGATTAGTAGGTTGCATTGGCATCAGGTACATCTCCATTGATGCGTACCCCCACTATACTTCAGGCTGAATGCACAATTAACTCTCCTGCCAAATCTACCAACTTAGCCACCAGATTTATAATCAGTGGCTTCCCTCGGGTCCATGATGCATTCTCACCGCGTAGTACTCAGGTGATCAAATTAATAGACCTTACTTTCAGGTTAGTGATGCTAGCATTTGACGGTCGCTCACCTTGACCGAGCGAGCATATGATCATGGAAGGATCCTTCCCCTCCAGCTTCTATTTTTGTATTTTCCTATTTTTATGTATTTTCTGTTAATTACATGGGAGACTGCAGTACCATTGCAATGGCCCTCTGGTAGCGATAGTAAGTACATGCGAACCGACCTGCGGTTCTTCTCGAATGTCAAGCAAGGGTATTGTAAAAGCTATACACTGAAGTGAGTACCATCTGCCATCCGTCTGCCGACCATGCGAAATGCCTCTAATGAAGCAAGGTTGCAAGTATCGAGACCAGCAAGCCACCAACCAGCGACCCATGTCCCGCACTCGCGTCCAAGACAGCAGCAGCGCCTACGCTAGCCGAAGGGCTTGCAGATGCGCTTGATGAGGCAACAGCAGCGGAAGAAGACGGAGTGTTCGACGCAACAATCACGATCGACGCGGCAGTGGCGGTCGCCGAGCCCACCTGCTGCTGTTGCTGCGCAGCAGTCATGGTTGGCGCAGTCAAGATGACGCTGGGAATAGATGTCTTGGCGCTGCCTCCCGCGTCACTGACGACACTACTGGCGAGCGCAATGCCAGTTTCGACCAAGGTGGGGTTGACTTGGATATTTGCCGCAGAGTCCGGTGTGTCCGGTGCGGTCACGATGACAGAGCCGGCATCATCGCGTTTGACGTTGATGGAATCGGAGCTGACACTCCAGGTGTCAGAGCCGCCGCCTGTGTGGACATGATTAGCTGCTGTGCAAGTGATAGCTAAACTGGAGGAGACATACAAGTATCAGAGGGGAACCCAGCACAAGGCGTGTTGCATCGTGCAGCTGGCACCTCAGACTCAGAAGATGGCAATGCATCGCCGCAGTAGCATTGATTCCCGTCATGCAGAGCGTATACAGTCTGATTGCGCTTGTCGCATGTTTGTTGGCAGTATCCGATGGACTGGAATTGATAGGACCCCGCGAGGACTAGCTCGCCGGGTTCACTATAGCAGCCAACAAAAGAAGAGGCCGACGAGAGGGAGGCGAGAGATAGGATCGCGAGGTTGCAGATGCTCGTCCGGATCATTTTGTCGGTTGATGGTGTAGAATCTGAACAAAGGCTGGGTAAAGAACGTGTATGGGATTTGGGAAGAAAACTCTGAATCAAAGAGTGGATATGCGGTTGACAGGAGGGAGAAAGAAGAAACAGATGGCAAAAGAATGATAAGGATGACAGGAAAGGTTCCAATTTTCATGGGCGGAGTCAACCTAAATATGATCCGTCTTTAATATACCAGCGGATGGAGACGAACCAACCGACGATACACACTTTCCCATGGCGAACCAACCCCTTGGGGCAGCATGCAAAAATCGGCGGTTGAAACCCAGCAGAAATGCCGATCTGATGATCGCGCGTACGAACGCCTCTCTTCTGTCCGGATTCCATAATGGTTCGTTAAGCGATCGTCGGCTCCGCGCCGGCAGCGTTTCGGACGATCCCTTGCTGTGTTGAGCCAACTAAGGCTGGTGTTTCAGCATTTGTCCTCTGACTCCTCTCAGAAAGGTTTGAACGAGTGATGTAGGGATCAACACGCTATTGGTTTCTGAGACCACCACGCGATGACTAGCGATTGTCAGTTGGTTGGATTTGTGGGGAGGCGAACCCATGATGGATCCCAGAGTGGATTCTTATTAGCTGACCAGAATGGCACAGAATGGAGATGTTCCTGATCCCCGTTTCATCACTCAATGATCAACGCGACAGAATGTCGGTTCCATGGAAGCTTAAGCTGAAGCATGCCAGATAAGTCGTTGGGCAGGAAAACATCAAGGATTCAAAGGACCAAAAATTTTTCAAGTGAGATAAAGAAGTAAGTATCCGTAAGTATCCGTAGGGAGGGAGAAAAAGAAAGGAGGACGGCCAAGTCACGAGACCACTATCGTCCTTCCTGTCTGGGCATCTTTCTCTGACTTCTTACCAACCTTTCTTCATCAATCGGCATATCATTCATCACTCATCATCACAACATGCCCACACCATGCAATCAACCCTTTTTTCCCGTCAAGGCTGGCTGTTGCTCATGCAGATTCTAAATGTTGTGCTACTCCTGTCGATCCTCACAAGCTTGACAGCGCCACAATGATGCACTGACATTTTAGCCTCGGCTTCCATCGTCATCATTGAAAGTTAAAAAAGCCATCGCTGTTGCCCTTCATGCTGTCAGTAGATGGCTTTGGTCTGGTCTGCAGACCAACAAGACCAAACTACAACTTCTGCTTCACTAAGCACGGAGTCAACTAAAACAGCAGCTGATCCCACTATTCACTCAACCTGCAGCAAAAGTTCATCAGAGCTAACCTCAAAGTGGTTGTTTTGGCAAATCAACAAGAGACAATGGGTAGCAATCTGCTTCCTACGATGCGTGAGACTGTCAATCCTCCTTATCGCCGATTTCGAGATTCTACCCCGCAGGAATAGTGGCTCTAAAGTACCTCACCGCCACTCACAAGACGCCTTCGAATGCAACCAAACCTTCGGTTGCTATCGCTTTGCATGAAATGCTTCCTAGTCTCTGGAAAGACTTGCCCTCTCAGGCAATCCTGACGCGGCCAAATCCGCCTTAGCCGATAGCCGACTTATCGCGCCGGCAGATACAATGAGGGGGCTGCCATCGACGCCTTGATTGCGCAACCCGGCGATAAGATAACTCAATCCATTGCGTTGTGGCTTAAGCTACTTCCCCTCATTTATAATGGATCCATAATCCCTGAAAATGGGGTTGTTCTTCTTCCCTGCGAGTGCTGCTCTCCTGTATCAGAACCATTGCCCATGTATCAGCTACTACCTGTCATTGTAGGGCTGCTAGCCCCTTCCGTTGCGTCTCTCAGCGTTCCTTCGGCGCAACAGCTCCTCAATTCCTGGTCCTCCGGCGAAAGTAGCGATCTTTGCCCATTGGCACCTAAAATCGAAGCCCCGGATGACGGCTTCTTCTCATCGGTCAAGTTTGTTACCGACGATGCGGTGAAGTCACGACAGGTCGACCGTCTGTCGCGAGCAGTTCAAGTCCCGACCGCGATTGATGATTACATGAAAGACCCCTACGATGAGAAATTTGCTCCATTCCTTGACTTCCACGAGCTCTTGCAAACGCTGTTTCCTCTCCTGTAAGTGGGGATTCACCCCCGGCCACCAGTGTCTCCTAACAACCGTTCGCCGCAGCCACTCCCACGCCCGTGTAGATCACGTAAACCGCCTGGGACTAGTCTACACACTCAATGGCACCGACGACAGCCTCAAGCCGATCCTCTTCCTGGCTCACCAGGATGTCGTGCCAATCAACGACGCTGCCGACTGGACATACCCTCCATTTGCCGGTCACTTCGACGGCGAATGGCTCTGGGGCCGTGGTGCCAGCGACTGCAAGAACGTCCTGATCGGTCTTCTGTCGGCCGTGGAGGACCTGCTGTCCCAAGACTGGCAGCCCACACGCAGCGTTCTCTTTGCCTTCGGTTTCGACGAAGAGTCCCACGGCTTTCTCGGCGCCGGAAATATCTCGGAATTTCTGCAGAAGAAGTACGGTCCCGATAGCTTCGAATTCATCCTCGACGAAGGCGGCATGGGTCTGGAAACCTTCAGCGACAACAACGACAACAACAAGCTAGCGAGCGCCACCGATGACGATGATGGAATCATCTACGCGCTCCCCGGCGTCGGCGAGAAGGGCAGCATCGACATCGTGCTCTCCCTCGCCGTACCCGGCGGCCACAGCTCCGTGCCCCCGCCTCACACGGGCATCGGCATCATCTCCGAGATCATCTACTCACTTGAGCGACAGGACCTTTTCATCCCCGTGCTGGACGAGCGGCACCCATCCCGGCAGAAACTCGAGTGCCAGGTGCGCCACTCGCCCGCGCAGGTCGAGCCGTGGCTGGCCTCGGCCCTCCGCTCCTCGGACCACGTCTCCCTGGCCGAGAAGCTGGCGGACTCCCGCGGCGACAAGTTCCGCTTCATCCTCCAGACCTCGCAGGCCGCCGACCTCGTGGCGGGCGGCGTCAAGTCCAACGCCCTCCCCGAGAAGATCTCCGCGCTGGTCAACTACCGCGTGGCCCTGCACCAGACCCCGCAGGAGATCCAGCGCCGCGCCGTCGACATCATCGGCCCGATCGCCCGCAAGTACAACCTGAGCGTGACCGCGTTCCCCGCCGACAACCAGGTCGACACCTCCCTCAACAACCACCTGACCCTCACCACCCTCAGCGGCGCTCTCGACCCGGCCCCCGTCAGCCCGACCGACCTCCGCACCGACCCCGTCTGGGCCCGCTTCTCCGGCGTCACCCGCGCCGTCTTCGAGTCCGTCCCCGCCCTCCAGGGCAAGACCGTCGTCGTCAGCGGCGACATCATGACCGGCAACACCGACACCCGGTTCTACTGGCCCCTCACCCGGAACATCTACCGGTGGAGTCCCTCCCGCGCCGGCCGGGCCGTCAATATCCACACCGTCGACGAGCGCGTGGGCATCGACGCCCATTTGGAGGCCATCATGTTGTACTATGGTATGTCCTTGGACGTTGTTATTTCATCCCCCCTTCGCCTCGACGTTGACCTTCGTACCTGTTGGTGTCAATTTCGCGTATATGACATTATAAGCTAACTCGTTGATAACTATCATACAGATCTCATTCGTTCTTTTGATGCTTGGGAAGGTAGTCCGGATGAGGTCTCGCTTGAATTGTGATGGTGAAGCAAGAGACAGGTACCCCCGTGCTAGCGCGAGGAAAATAGTATATGCTAGACCCTGGTTTCAGCTCCGTAAAATGGCTCGGAATCAGTCCAGTAAGACTATGTCAGTATCCCAGGAAAGAAAGGCTTGGGTGATGGTAGACGACAGTGTCCCTCTATTCGGGGTCATTGACACGTCCATCCAACGCTTGCAATGCATTATGACTACACCATGGATTATCCAAGGATCGGGTGATGAAAGTCGGCTTCTCTACAGCCAAGATGACTAATTCTCGTATCAGACGACAACCAGATAGAATCCAAGCACATGCGATCACCAAGTAATATTTGCAGCCCTGCAACAGCCCAGGCGAGGGAACGTATATACTCTGCGTGTCATAGCCTCCGAATGCACCACCAGGCTGACAATCGAAAACATAGACTTGGCCTAAAGATACGCACAACGGTCTGGTAGCAATAAAGCGATTCCAAAGATAAATGCATAGCGAGTGACCGGCACATCTGAACGAATGGACAAAACAGGTGGGTCCGCTCCAGGGAACCAAAGAAGGCTTCGAACAGAACAGGTCAGTTGCATAGACCAAGAATAGATGGGTATATATAACGGTAAGTGATTCAATTGCCCTGATTGAGGAGTAGGAGGGCGAAGGCGCCGCCCACAACGGGTCGGGCGATGAAGGTGATCGATGGATAGCTACAAATGTTAGCCGGAACGGTTCTGAAAAGACAGAGAGTGCTGTATGCTTACTTCCCAGTGGTGGTATCATAGAGATCCGTAAGCGCTCGATTGGTTGGAGTAACATTGATCCAGTTGGCAAGAAGCTGGATGAACATGTCCCTCGTGCTGGTGGACGCGACGGCGGCAGCGAACAGCTCCCAGTCACCTGTATGATGCTTCAGAAGGATATCAACATGAAATCTTCGAGTTGCCTCACCCTTGGTATATGTGTGTCGCGTGTCCAACGGCACTCCATACGTATTTTGCACCGTCGGGTAGAATGCGCTTTGCATTTCGTATACTGACTTGGGCACCAAGTCCAGTCCCAGCTCGCGGTCGGCGTAAAGGTTGTACAAGAGACCTATATATTCGAATTGTCAGTGACTCAATTATATAAGAGTGAAAATCCGACTCCACGCACCATGGGAGTTGTTTGCGCCATATGACAATGTTGTATGGGCAGGGTGTGCATTGTGAGCAATGCCAATCTTCTCCCACTGCCGGATATATCGGTGGGAGATTGTTGTATAGTTCGAAGCATCAGAAGAGTGAGCGGTTTGCTTGCTAATGGTGGCCATCGCCTCAATGCCAATGATTCCTTTCAAAGCCAAGTTTGTCTGGTTGCTGTAGAATGAGTCAGCATTTGTTTGCAAACGAGTCACGGAAAACGCACGCTAGACTTCCAGCGAAGTCGTCAGTGGAAATCTGGTTGGACGGATAAAGCGCATCTTCGATCAGATAGCTTGTCCATACATTCAGCATGTCGTAATGCGCTTCAAGGTAGGACGTATTGCCGGCCCTCTGAGCGTATGCCAGAGACATGATAACCATGTTTCCGCACTCTTCCAGTGGCATCGCCTCATCCTTACCATCTGCATGGCCAGTAGCATTGGGATAATTACTTCCGATATCATGCATTGCATAAGAGTTGGGATACTTCCCAGATTCCTGAAACTCATAAAGGGGCTTCAGTAGGAGGTCAAGAAGCTCTGGGTTGGTGTATAGGAATATCGGATGGGCTGGGAATATGACATCAACAGTGTTGATGTTCCCGTCGGAAGAGATCTCCTTCATGAAAAGATAAGGATCTGCAATTGTTCCACACAGTTGTGTTGCACCAAATGCTTGCCGAACAGTGAGCGAAGTGATTGTAAGATAGTCCTGACCAGCTGCTGCTAGAGAGTCGGCCGCAATCTTGTCATCTAGCTCTGTGGAGAGAGACGAAGAGGTTCCGTAGTCATTATGGAAAAAGTCCAGCTTAATGGTGAATTGTTAGTGTATGATAGTATCCGCAATGGCTCAGCGAGGACTTACGGCTTCAACACCATCACTGAAATAACTTGTCCATAGCGATGGCAAAGGTGCGTAACCCTTATCAGTCCCATTATACTGCATTGCATCGGTTTGAGCCAGTCCGATGGAGAACAATACTCCAACTGAAGAGTCAACTGATCCCAAATCGTGGGAAAACGCGAAAACCGGCCAACTAGTCGAGATTGCGCGATAGTTGGCATCCTGAGAGTTCCCTAACGTCCCATTTGCCGAGAAAGCCCCTCTGACATCTACATCTATACCAGATTGATAGGTCATGCTTTCGTTCTCGTCGGTCGCCCAATACCACTCTCCCCAATCCGCTTGGTCGCTCGTCTCCGAGAAAGCAAGCTGGGTTTGGCGGCTAACCTTGTGGTATGCGACATTGTTGCTGGTGGTTCCGTAGTCCCATGTTGCAGTGGCAGTGCGATCTCCAGAAGTCCATTCTACAGCATGTCAGTTATCCCGAAACCAAACGCACCAGACCCAGTCTGCACTGTCCCTTCTGAATTTTACTTACCGGCCGAGATATCTGCATAAACTTGCACGTCATGAGACGCGCCGTCAAGCGATTCAATTTCCACATCCACGTAAGAGAAAATGAGTGATTGTCTCTTCAGATCATTTGGCGTAATAGGCGATAAGAAAGTGATGTTCATCTGCACTTTGTCTGCCACATTCATGGTAAAGATGCTTCTCGTAGACGTGTAAATATAGGAAGTCTGGTTGACTGTGGTAGTTCCTGGCAACCCCATCCAAGTGTAAGTGGTGCCATCGACACGAACCATGCCAGCCCAGCCGTTGATTTGTCCACTGTTTCACATCGAGTCTCAGTCAATTACACGCGTTGGTTGTAGAAAATTGCACAGCGGTGCAGGGTAAGGTAGCACTCACGCCCAAAACGTTGGCCATTCCCCGGCCAAATACCCTCCATTGCCTCCGTCACTCCCCGCAGCAAGCCAAGTGCTCAGATACGGTGACTTGACTGCCAAAGGTAATGCTGGGGGTCGAGCAGGAGAGAATACGGATGTAGCCCCTGCGAAGGAGACCAACACCGTCACCAGTAACCCTAATATGAACCGCGTCATTGTGATTTAGCCACCAGGTACTCAGACTAGGAGCATGGCCCTCCTTATAAATAAAAGTCGCCTGTTTCTTCGCGCCGCAAAAAGGGAATGACAAAACAGATTAAATTTTGCAGCGATGATGGCGAATGTGGAGTCCGGAATGCTGAACTGGAATGTCAAGGACGTTTGAGCACAGGATCGAGCCAGCATACCAAGCGGAAAAGGAGGGGGTATTTGAAGGACGATGCGATTCAAGGTAGAAACGTCCTGAATATTGCGTCAATCTCAATTGACCTAGCATGTTTCAGCGAAAGACCAAGAGATGCGTGATGCAATGTCTTCAGCCGTCGTCTGACCTCACAGTCCCTAGGAGAAGTGCTTCTCCCCCCCACCCCATGCACATCCAAATCTCCGAACAGTTTTCTTCACCGTGTCAAATATGGAGACGCTCGCTGGCATGGAAGCCATGGCTGAATGTGACCAGAACTTACCATGCAAGCTTTAATTAAAGCATCTGGTCTCGGCCGCTCTCTTTCATGCGGAACTGGGGCTGCAGAACCTCCTTAGGCCAGACGCTAATCGGCAATTCCGGCATAGACTGATCAAGCTGTATGGGGGAATGCTTGAAATTCGGTCCAGGTGAGTCTTGGGGCTGAGGCTCGAACGAGTGTAGTCGTGCTGAGAGACAGTCAGACTGAAGCCCAATTCTTAGCATTTCGGGGGGCAGGTGACTACCTTCTGCAGATGGAAACATGAACGAGTGACAATATCATAAGTTCAAACAAACAATAAACAATAGATTAAAGTGGTCACACATGATGCCAGTCCAGTTGATGAAGAGGGGGGGGGGGGGGGGCAAGAACTGGAGCGAAATGAATAAGGTGCATTTCGGTGGAGTAGAAAGTAGAATCCCCAAGGAATCATTGGAGATGGACGCGGAGAGAAGGAATCCCCCCTCTTCAGCGAACGGAGACGACAATTTGAAAACGGCAGGAAGTGACATGGTTCATACATGACTAGCATTCAATAGTTTAGTAAATCTGAAGGGCCGGTTCTCTGCAGGTAAAATTACCCCCGCAGAAAGTGCGATGCCCGTGACATTTCAGTGCATAACTAGCATATCGAAGCTAGGCTGACTCTCTCGTCCGTCAGTCCGATCATTGATAATGCAGCATGCGCCAAATTTCGCTCTCTGATAGTTCAAAGTCTAACGGTTCAGTGGGCATTGTGACCAAAGGTGGTGATGGCATCATGTGAAGGAGAAATGAAATAGAGTAGTTTGGGGGGGTATTTTCCCCTCATCCAGCTTTTTTTTTAGTGGATTCCCCCTGCGTCCAGGAACCGGGGGAAGGCTGCACTAAGTGGAACAGGGAGATGAGATCCAGGGGATGATGCAGTGTGACCCTGTCAAACACCAGGATGGCTGCATGGTCGGAGATAGGCGGAAGACGAGGAACGGGGAAGGAAAGGATGGATTCAACTCAGCTTGACTCGGATAGCGGCAGAGTTCGGTTGGGTTGGGTTGGGTTGAGTTGAACTCAAGACTCTTCCAGTTTCTTTTCATCCTTCCTCAACTTTGAGCAAATTAGACTCTTCCTTGCCCCAGATTTCTTCCACCATTTCTCCACCATTCCAATCTTTCCTTTCTTTCCTTTCGGAGAAATTCCGTTCAGCCTAATATTGCGGCAACTTCACTCCTCCAATATTACGTCTGTCTTGTGATATACTTGATGCATGACCGGTGACTACCTCCTCCAACCCCGGAGGCAGTTGAGAGTCCATCTCGGTCATATTTATCTTGGAAAAAATCACGGAATTTGAGCATTCATATCTTATTGATATTTGAAATGTCTCCAAAAGGTAAGTGTCATTGAAATTTAGGTTAGTGTAGACATTATGTGTGATCAAACAGAGAAGATCGTGGTTTCATCATGATAAGTCATTGCTACCACCCATGTCTTTATCCACCAGACAAAAATATCCCGCGCGTGCTCCGAGAGAACTTGTCGATATGTCCGTGTCTGCCGTCGCCGCCAGAGAGCCCAGTATGCTCCGGTTTTGCTGAGAGGGTAGAGGACAGACGGATCAGCCAGTCCAGGTATCCATAAGTAAAGAACATCGCCTCGACATGTTACATTAATGATATCGATACCATTATCATCATCATAATCATCATTCGTCACGCGCTGGAAGCAAGGGAATAGTATATACTGTTCCTTTCGGGAAGAAATAAGAAAAATCAAAAGAGCAACCTTCCCCAGAACGCCAGATTTTCAACCGCGGCCAACAAGAATCTTGGAGCTGCGAGCTAGCTCGATACAGAATTCTCCCCATTCGCTACCTCCGCTACTTGTCAATACTTCCTCGGCAATGGCGTCTTCCAGCCGCTCGCGGTACCGCTGCCGGAACTCGTTCTTGACCTTTTCCAAGTGTCGTGGCTCCCAGTGAAGCCGGACCAGTCGTGAGATCAGGAGCTCGGACCGCTCCTTACCCGTACGTGATTCGCGTAGCGCCTGGTGCAGAAGGAGAGCATCACGCATGGGTCGATTGATTGCTCCGTTCAGTATATGTGCAAGTGTCTCGCCCTGTGAGATGAATTAGCGAAATGAAACTTGAACTGCGGCATAGTGGACCTACCACGAGATTTTGCGACTTTTCCATCATGGCCCGAGCGAAGTTGCGCTGGTAGACCTTCTCGTAAGCGCGTAGCACTTCTCGAAGATGAGGATCGCTTCGCCGGACGATGATATAGATCATCGCCGTCTCACCTCCATGGCGCGAAACCAGAGCGCGATGTAACTCGTGCACATCTCGCTCAATAAGTTCTGGATCAAGTGGATCTCGTTCGTTCTGTCGAGTCTCTTCGAGAGCAAGTAGGACTGCCAAACGGAACTTATCTGCCTTCAGTTCGGCTTTCATACACTTTTCCAGGCTATCCGAGTACCGTGAATCCCGAAAACATTCTTTGATCTCACTGATTTCGCCATTTGTGCGACCGAAGAGAGACTCAATCAGGAGTTCACGCCGAGATGTACTTGACTGGTAGTAGCAATTTGCCCAATAGGCCTCGGACTCCCAACGTCCCAAAGCCGTAGCATAGCATACTTTGCCAAAAGCGCTGTTGCCCAGATTCAGTCGGACGTGCTTCGCCATGTTCACTCCCTTTCCGTGGACTTTGACGTGCTTTTTGTACTCCTTGCGCAGATCCAGGATTTCATCGCTTGTCAAGTGTGGCAGCACTTTGATCAGGGTCTTATTGTCGACATGTCGCGTGTGCGATAGAGCCTGTTGCAAGGCTAGAGCATCAGGACCTGCATCGTAGAAGGTAACTCGTTTTCGACCGCTGCTGGGGGTTATCATGACGAGAGCGTCAGGACCGGTGGACCCATGTCGTTCGTGCCGTACTCGGCTACTCTCCCGTTTCACACGATCGGGTTTCAACTCCCTCTCGTCCTTACTCTTCTTGCGTCTGTGTTCCCTCTTTCCCTCGTCTGAGCTAGTGCCCACTAGCTCTAGGTCTGAGACGTCATCATCGTACCGTGACGCAATGACAATAGGTGATGGCATCGGCGATATACTTTGATAGGTCCCTTTGTACGGCTCTTGGAGCGGGCTGGCCGGTCGTTGAGTCGGGTCAGGGCCAGCAACTGTGAGATTATGGGCCGACGATACGGAGTGACTGTGAGGTCGGCCAGCATTCCGGTTTCCAGGTGCAATTTCCACGTACTGCGGACCGCTTTCCTGACGACTGGTCGGAGTTTTAGGAGGTTGAGGAGCAGCCGTATATTTGACTCCACTATAGGGCGAGTCATTGGCCTGTGCGCCGCCGCTCTTCGAGTATTGAGGCGCCGTGGAATACGTGACCGGCTTGGTAGCATTTTGCGCGGCACTTTTGGTCGAGTGTTTCACGTTGGGATCAACTTGTGCATACTGAAACGGGGTTGGGGCAGCATATGAAGGCTTGATTGCCGCATCGCTCGATGCGGAGCGTTGATGGGCTGAAGAGCCCACTCCAGCTGCGTATGTATTGGCAGCAGACACCGACAGCGGGCGACCATTCTGCGGCGCATAAGGGTTCTGTGTCGAACTTGGATCGACATATCTGTATGTAGGCATTGGAGCTGCAGCGGTTGCGGCAGGCATCTCAGGCTGAGTAGAGCCGGCTGGGAATGCACCAGGCATTGCTCGATCAGGCCTCTGAGGCAATGGAGGTACAAACCCCGGCCGCTCACACTCAGGTATCGGTGCCCATGTAGATGGTACGGTAGATGAAGCAAGAGGGCCACCGTAATGTGAAGGTTGAGCGTGAGGATGCTGAGATTGCGCAGCATATTTAATAGGGTCGGGTTTGGCATAGCTGGGATGACTACCAGGAACCCGCTCCTTGATGCCATCTCCAGAGCGAAATGACGCCCCAGCCGGGGGTACACCCGGATTGAGTGCACCGGACATCATAGCGCCCCCATGACGCGGTGACGCAGTGCGGCCGGTACCCTTATAGCCGTAATAACTTCGCTCCAGGTCATCATCTGGGAGGTCACCGTAGGCAAGCGCATCATCCTCCGAGTCCGAGTACGACTTCTCCGAGTAGCTCTCGTAGCGCGCATCGCGGCGATGAGCGGAAGAAGAGTATCTACTGTCGCGCTTTGCACCTTTGCTTTCGCCCGAATCAGATTGGTAGTAGTAGTCTCGACCGTGCTCGATTCCTAAGTAAGGATCCCGGCTATCAGAGGGGCCATAACGATAATGAGACCGGTAAAAGTCACCTGGCGCAGCACCTCTGCTCCTGGATCTGGTCCTCAACTTCCCGTCCGCCGGAGCGGAAGATAAATAAGTGCGGTCAAGGGTTGGAGGCTGCCGACTGTCGCGAGATTTGGAACGATCGCGGATACGGCCGCCTGGGGACTTGGAACGGCCTCGCGACCGTGGGTCGCCCACCTGGAGTGACATGGATGAGGAAGCTAGAAACCGGTGCGACGATAATCAGAGATCAGAGCTTGCGAGCAAGAGTCCCACCGAGGCTGAGCGTAAAGTACAGAGTAGAAGGTCAAAAAAGCAGGTGAAAATGCGACCAAGCAAAGTACCAGTAGATAGGCGGAGTCTCAAAAGTGCGATCGCCTTCAAGGTTGTGTGGAGCACAGAGGAAATAACGACTGGGAAGGGCGGGATATGATGACAGGAACGGGGTACGCAGATCGGAGAGTCAAAAGGGGAGCAGACTCAGAAGAGAGATTAGGTAAATGGAAGTAAGACTAGGTGGCAGTGTTTCTCTCTAGTCTCTAGTAATTGGAGTGACAAGGCTGCGTAAATTGCAGCGAGTGGTCATCCAGAGTTCTGGGAGTTCAGCTGAGCAACAGCAGCTGAAGTCAATCGCGTCCGCATGAGGAGGGAGGGAGTTAGTATTCGCCCGCGGGGCTGCGCGCACCACCGCCTTGTCTGCTCTTTCTGCACGCACACACAAACACTGCAGACAAAAGTGTAACCAGGGCATATTTGTTGCTGTCTTTTCGCGCCGTCAACAACCATGCGACAGTGCAGCTGTATTCTAGGACTCTCGCTACGGAGTGTAAGAAGTGTCGCCATCCAATCGAGGGCCTGCGAACCCGTTGGAGCCGCACACCGTCTTCTGCAGCCTTGAAAAACCATCCACTGGGCACGCCCATTGCTGGTCCACCCCGGGCGGCGGCAGTCTAATCATCATCTCATGTTCATAAGGGAGCTTGATGTCCGGAATCCACCCGCCTGGGCCCCCTCCAGGCTCCGAGGTCCCCTCCCTTCAAGCGTCTGCCGGGACTAGCGCTTCGTATCATTGATTCATTAGAGGGTCTCATTCCCATCATTGGTCCTTGCCGCCTAGTCAAGTCAACTAGGCTAGCCTAATCCACTTCTACTAGTCGGAGGTGGTTGGTTCTCTTCAAAGCAAAAAAGAGCGGTGTTCCTTTTACAGTAATAATAAGTGCATGCATCCAGTCCATATTCATGTAGTGAGTGGTGGTAACAACGTTATCTCCGACCGAACAGAAATGACATCAACACTAAGCTAGCAGACTATACTTGAACACCGAAATATCTACTCGATACACACAGCCTTATTACCGGAATGGATAAACCAATTTCACGCACGGAGTCTGGCATGCATTACCCGCTATAACAGCGTCGAATCATCGCAGTAACAGGCATGATACAAACATGCTGAAGCTTTAGCAAAGCCACGAGTCATGGAAGTAGTTTGACAAGACAGATTCAACATAAAGGGACCGGAAGATCATCAGAAGTACAAAAGAAGGAATGGAATGGGGTATGACTTGTGGACGCAATGGGTAACAAAATCAGGATAGATGACCAAGCAGTCAGGTGCTTAGTCGAGAGTGCCGCAGTAGCGCTGGTACGTTAAAACATGGGGTTGATATCACATCAAAGGGTAGAGGTGTTTAAAGAGAGTATTGAACGTTGAATAGTGGGCGCGAGAGACCTTGGCCCAGCATTTCTCATCAGCAGTTTTGGCTGTCGAGAGGCCGGCGGTCTCTCTTCGCATCATCAACAGGTAAAAACAGTTCACAAGATCGGGTTACTAATAACCAATGCTGTGGCTGGAACAAGCAAATATGAGAAGATGGTGGTAGATAAATCTCAGACAATTCAGCAGAATGCAGGCCATATTAAATGACTGTCGAGAGTGCAGGGGATCACTCAAACCGACGGAGATCAGGCCCAGTCTTTCCGCCATATACCTTCTTCTGGGCAAGCTCTTTGGAAGGAGCAGGAGACGTGGCGACATGACGGTTGAGGCGGCTGGTTCTCCATCTCTCATACCAGACCACACGACTCGCTTCCCGAAGCTCGATCCGCCAGTCGTTGAAGACAGCCTCCTTCAATTTGAGGAAATCGCAGTGCTCTGGATTGTATGGGTCGGCAAAACCCCACGCGAATTTGCGGCCAATGGGCTCATCCCCAGATTTCAGCGAGTATGGATCGGGAGACAAAGTGGTGAAGGGAAGTAGCTGAGGCACGGCTTGGGGCTCGGGAGCGTTCTGGCTGGGCTCGGATGGGGCGGAAGATCTAGAGATTCCCTCATCATCGCCAGACTCCTCCTCGTCACCGCTTTCTGAAGAAGTATATTCTTCCTGATCTTCCAGAGTCAATATTTCTAAGGGATCTATGTTGACCTTTTTGAGACTTTCCCAGACTGCTTTCCTTAAGTATGCCATGTGCCCGGCAGTGATTGTGTCGGCTTTGCTGATTACGGGGACGACAGTGGTCTTTCCCACCATGGTTCGTAGGACTTGCACATCCAGTCTCTCATCTAGGATGCCAATTATGGTTGAGTCGGTTGATCTTGGAGTCCCTTGCGCTGCTCTTTCAGCGGCCGCAATGTTCTGATCCAAGCGTACGGGATCGAGAATCAGGAAAGTGCAGTGTATGTGCGTGTCTCGGGCGTTGGGAGAGCGAATGACCTTCGTTTCCTCCCTCAAGGTTTCCTCGAACTTGCTCTCCAAGAAGCCTGTTACACCACGTAGTTGAATATCGACAATGTTCTTCTCCAAGCCCGGTGAGTCCCAGAAAGTGAGGCCTACCCGCTCACCGTCGATTTCAGTCTCAAGATAGGAGGAAGTATAGCCTTCACCTGTTGTAGACAGGCCCTCTTGATCTTCCAGGCCACTCGGCTGACGATTGGAATGCTTGCTGGGCAGCTCCAGAGACTTTCTGAGAAACTTGAGGAACGATGTCTTGCCCGAGTTACTTGCGCCGACAACAAGAACACTGACGCAGGTCAGTATATTGTATCGATAGATGTCCACAGATTGATGACAGCTTACTTGTATGGAGTAGGATCTTTGCGACGACGTAGACGACGCGGGTTGTTGACGGAACTAGCAGCGCTGCTTACATAGCTATAACGTCCACGGTTTGCCATGCTCTCCGCGCGCGCGTATGGATCGCTGCTCTCTGGCTTCACTGGCGTACTCATCGTACTGCGGGACACACTCTGCGGACGGGGCACGGGAGACTGGGTGGGAGGCGCTGCAGTGGTTTCTCGTGGTGACTCGCCACCAAAAGTGTCCAGGACTGGAGCCGGAGACAAGCTTGGAAGACGGGGAGGTTGGTGGTATAGCATTGATGCGCGTTGATGGTGAGATTCCGCTTCCGTCGGTATATTCTTGCCACTTTTGCTTGCAGATGGTCTCCTCTCACCCAAGAGTTCAATTGATTTGGAGCGACGAAGGAAGCTTAAAGATGACGCTCTGCGTTGATCCTTTGTCTCTGCGGCGACAGCGGAAGGGTCAGTCCGAACCGGAGTCCGGGGTGTTGTTGATGTGCTTGCCATTGGGTTTTATTCTGGGTCACCTCTGCTTTCTCTTATCACTTGACTGGCTGTAACACGAATGGGGGGGCAAATGGCCAAACAGAAGTGGGGTCACTGGGAATGATGCGTGTCTCAGATATAGTCAGGAATAATTCATTCACTTTAGCAATCCCGAATTTGCTCTCGGCTCAATCTAGACTGGAACCCCGAAGGATCCAATGGGTAAATTCAGCTAGAGGGGTGGTGAATTGCAGTCAGTCGATGAATTCTTAAAGAGGTGGTTTGGGGACGGTATAATATGCGCCGCATCCCCTGACCGGAAGACTCATTGTTCTCAACGGATCGCCTGTCCCCGGATTGCGAGATGATTAACGTACCTGATCTGCTCGAGTGGCTTCGCTGTTCTTCTAATCTCGCTTGCACTAATTCCTCTTGACCAAACCAAACGACGGACAAACGGACTAGAAGAAGAGAGCAGAGAGAACCGACACAATTATCGGATGTCTGCGCAATCGCTTGACCCGAGATGAGACGAGAAGTCGAGCGACCAGGTGTTTATTCCAATCGACTTGCACAAGCTCAGCAGGTGGATCGTCCAATTGAAAGACCTTGCTACCGCGAATGTACTGTACAGCAAGCAATATGAAAACGAAGGCCAGCAAGCAATACGTCAGCACTGCAGTTCGATCCGACCAGGGAATCTTTGAAAGCGATGCCTGCTCAACAGCGCCCGACTAAAGCGGCGCATACAACTGAAACGGGAACAATATGAGAAGAAGGAAAAGGGGACACAAAAGGATATGAAGGATTGAGCCCGAGACCGAGAAGAGCGGCGCAAAGGTTGGATGGAGCTGGAGGATAGATGATGATCGGCCAGTGAGATTGGACAAAGGCGATGCTGCCTTTATCCGGACTGGGCTGATGTCGACTGAACCAACCTTCTGCTTCGCAAAACAGAAGCTCGACTGACAGACACACTGCAACTGCAGGCTGGCAGCACGTTTGCCTTTCTCCAGAACAACTGGACTTTTGGACCTGCCTGAAGTCTGTCTTGTTTGTGAGAATGGAAACCAATTATTTTGTGTCGGTTTGCTTCCCACGCTATTTCCTTTTCTTTGATTCCAAATCTCTTTTCGCCATTTCTCTAGGTACTTTTGCACGTCTACAAAGGCGGAGAGAAGCTTGAGAAGCTTTTGAGCCGGAGGAAATTCAGGGGCAAAGCGGTAGCGAAGCTCGGTCTCTTCCAGACTCTCTCAGCAGTGTAAGTTGGTCTAGTGCAATTTGGGGTTAGTGAGCACTGGGTTGCTTTGCTAGGACAGATTGTTTAGCCTCTACGGAGTAAACTGTTGGGGTTTTAGCTTTGAATTGGACGGATGCTGGAGGGGCGAGCCGTTTGATTGATTACAGCTAACTAAGTTAGTTACTGGCTCCCGAATCTGGGTCTCTTCTCTCTCAGACTCTGATGTTGCTGATGTTGTACGACGACAATTTCCGTACGCGTGGTTAGCTTCTATGGCCCGGAAATTAGTGTACAATATCCCCGTACCTGGGTAAGAGCTCCAGGCTCATACGGAATGAAGCTCTACAATTGACTGTGGTTCCTTTTGCGATTGGAATGCTGAGGGAAACAGCTTAAGCCGAGCTAAGCTGGCTGATCCATCTCGCAACAATTGATTGAGGCACAGTGATAGATTAATTTATTAACGTTCATGCAGCGAAGGACGGATCGAATCGCGAATTTAAGCAGATATGGTTGCCGTTCAATACGTCTCCGATACCCCTCGTATTGACCGTCCTGCACGTTCAACTGACGATCAGGCGGTGGTCAAAACTCCCCAAGTACTGTACAGTACACGTGGGTACCGTCCTGTCATTCCTCGTTAGGTTGTTTATCTCTTGCATCTGGGCGACATTCCTCTTATCGTGACTTTTCCCCTTTCCCTTTCCCCGGATTTTCTGAGCATTTGCCTCAACACCCTCTGACTCCCAGTCCATAGTTGTCGGATTCTTCAAGGTTGTGGGAGAAGGTCAGAGTCAGGAAAATTGAACCAGCCTCGGCCATTCTTGGGGCCTTATGGGTTCAGCCAGCACCTGCCTCATACAGCCAGTGGCCCCTTTTCTCTTAGTGCGGGGTGGGGGTCACTTTCCGTTCCGAGTTGTCCGTGTCTTACGTGGGCAGAGACTGCGGATGCTGCTTTCAAGGTTGATGCCTGGTCCTGACTAATGAGAGCAGTAGATTCACTTCCTGGTCTGCTTTTCGCTCTAATTGGTAGAGGGAATATCGCAATCGAGAAACAGACGGTTCCAACAGCCTTTGCATTGACCATGCTAAGAAGAACTCACGCAATCCTCACCAAACCCCTGAGTCATGGCGGCCAAGGAGCACAGAGATACTAAGGGCGACCGGAAGGAGCGCAGCATTGGGAAGGGGCCCAGCTGCATCCCAGATATCAATTCAGCTTGTTGGAATTTTAGGTTTTTCATTATTGAAAGCTAACAATAATGATCCCTGGGCCTTTTAGCCAGCATATTTTTTCGAATGAATCCTCATATTGCTGGCCCCATACCGATCACCAGAATTCCCCTCCCTCGGCATCCAGAGCAAGACACACCCCAGGCCCCACACGTTCTCTCCCCAAACATTGGATCCTGCTGTTGTCATCATTTAGGAATCGCATGATGCCTTGCTGAAAATAAGAAGTCCTCTTATATACTGGGAGTTTCACTGCTTCCTCGTGGTCTCGCCGTCACTCCAGATTCGGAACGGGAGAACTATGCACGGGCTTTTCGGACACACTTCGGATCGGACGATGTGTTTGAATTTGGGACCGTTCGGGCCCCCGGTGTATTTAGCCTGTCCAAAAAGCTCCGGTCCACCCGGCAATGCATCGTCTCCCCATTGACCGTTGTATTCGAGCCAGTTGACCGGGTACTTGGAGTCATAGGGCTGGAACTTCTTGCTCGTTGCATCGTAACTATATGCATATGAGTTGAGGGTCGGATCCCACAAAATCCCGCGATCGGTGTAATCGACGATCAATCCCGTGGGAAGGTTGAAGTTGGGGATGATATGATCATGAGACCTGTCGGAGAATACGGTAAGCTCCTGACTCAAATACAAACATCGAGACATCATACCCAGCAATTGCATACACAGCATGTGTTCCATTTGCGGAATAGGCGATAGGCCGCTTTCCCTTCTTCTCTGTGGCTTCATAAGTGAAAGCCTGTCCGCCAGCGTGCTGGCTATACCAGAGCGATCTGGGAACTCCATTCTCGAAGCGAATCATGTTGTGCTCCCTATTGCAGTGTGAGTCTCGCAGCCATGATGACTACGGGGGGTGGTCTTACCAGTCACCGACATGGTTGCCGAATTGCATGCCCAAGACCGTGTTGCCTTGGTTATATCTACAAGACTCGTTAGCCGTGAACCCCCCCCCCTCTGCTTAGTCTGCTCACTCACGCAAAGAAGTAAAAGTAGAAGGCATCCAAGGTTCCATCACCATGATCGCGAACGACGGTGGTAGATGATACAGCACCTTCGGTCACGCCGTGGATATCGGGATCCACCCCATAAAACCACGATGGGTGAGGATCCGCATCGATCCCCTCCTTGGACGTGAGATACACGCTCGTATTGCCCACGTCGTTGAGGTACGCGAGGTTATCTAGAGTCGGGGGCGACGGTGACTCTGGAATGGATGACCAATTCACCATGGGAATGGTGTTTATGAGCTGTTGACCGATGTCGGAGGGCCTGTATACATCTTGGCTGTGTAGCCATACAAGCGGTGCTGTGGGAACCAATCAGATCACATGCACTCGCTTCGCGGTGTTCACTCACCGTATTCTATCACATATGCGGGGATCGTAGTTGCTGTGAGGGGAGTAATCGAGGCGACAGACAGGTCACTCTCCGTGGCTAGGAGAGGTAGCTGGTAGAGGAGTTTCAACATGTTGACATATTGGAAGAAACAAAGTCTACATATGGTTTCGAAAAGCTGCTGCTGCTGCTGTTGCTTCGATGCAGTATTCGAACTCGAGGATTAAGGGGCCTTCCAAGTCTAATACAAAGTTCCTTTCTCAGCCCTCCGCAACCCTAGCAAGACAATGTGATCTTCAAGTCACTTAACGTTGAGTATGCTATGAAACAGCAGAAGCATACCATACCGTGTCATCTGGGGATGCATGTTGCAAAGCCTCAACCTCCTGATGCCCTACAGTGTGCGGATCGAGTCCTGCACCCTTTTTTCCAGCCTCGCATGCGGCACAACGATGATTTCGGTGTCCGAAACCACCGCTTTTGTCTTCGGCTCCAAGGTCAAGCGCTCACAGTCAGGGTTCTGTCAGCCTTGCCTCATCCTTAGACCGTCAAATCATCAAGCTACTGGGTCAGGCTCCCTGGTTGCAGAGAAACCAGGGTCTAGCATATCATGCAGTTTCGACAGAACCTGAGCTTTGCTATTGACCAATGGGCTTGACCTAGGGCACATTTGGTCGTTCAAATTGGAATGTGCACGATGACTGGGTGATCGGCAAGGTCACACCCTGCAGCTTGTGAGGAGGTTTGGGACCCCGTGAAACTCATAATGGCCAGTAGCTAGGCCCCTTACCCTGGCATGTCCAGCTTCGATGTCCAGGGAAATGACACCATCTTCGATCCACTCCTCCTTGTCCTCACAAACACAACCCCATGCAGATGACCAATGGTCTTGGCACCGGCACTTCCCCCCATCAAGTGATTTGATGCGGGTGACAATCAATCAACCCAATTAGGTTCCTGCGGCATTGAGAACGTCAAACATTTGGATTCATAAAGAGTTACAATACGAATCACCCAGGCTGTGCTATGCTATGCACACAAAGTCGAGTCACGGTCGAGAGAATGACCCGCCATCATTACTGCCTCATCCTCAGTTCCCCAATTCCTCCTTCTTCGCCTGCTCCGAGATCAACTTGAGAGTCCGCAGGTCCAACGGAATCCTCTCGCCCAACCACGTAGCACGCTGCGTATGATTCCGTAGTTCCTCCGTCTTCACCGTATTCGGATGGATTAAAGCACTCAACGGCCCTCGATTGATGACCAGCCATGGCACGAAGGCTCCAAACTGCGCCGGGGTGAATAGATTGACCTCGAACATGGCCACGGGATGCGGTCCTACGGGACGATCGAAGAAGGTGTAGATCCGGAGTTCGGGGACTGCATCCATATGGGTTAATGTCAAGTTTTCAAGAGCCCACATGCACCCCTATAGTACGCAGCGTGGCCGTTTGGAAGCCCACGTGCGGAGGTATACAGAACGCTGGACTAGGGATAAAACAAGCTCACATTCACGTCGGATTCTTTCCCAGAGCGCCTTGGCGAAAGTGACTTGGTCGGGGTCATTCTAGAAACAGATACCCCTGGATTAGGTCTGGAGAATATGCGATTGGGTGTACTATGGCTGGTTCATCATGGGCGCGTAAACTCACTTGAAAGTGATAGATGTGTATGTCGAAGCCTCCGCGTCGGCCTTTCGTGAGGGGATCCGGGAATTCCTCGTATGCTTTGCTCAGGATGCCATGTTGGGGGTTCTTGAGGGACTTTCCGTCCTCGTTTCGCTCACTAGGCCGCAGTATCTCAGTAACTCGTGTTGTTGTAGAATCGCTTGGCCAGGTACGGAGTATTGTTTCGTGAATATGCGAAGGCTAGGATGGACTTACTCCGAGAGCGGCTCCAGGTTCTCGTACCCTTCGAGCGGGGAGGGGTATGAGAAGGCATATTGATCCGTCATCTTGTCTGATATCGAACAGTACTGAAGTAATTGATCGTTGAAGATTCGGTCGACTGTGCTTGAGTATTAATTCGACCTGTTCCTCAATGCTCCAAACCAGATTCACGCACTTAATATGATGATAAGCCGACAGGCAGGCGGGTATGTAGTTCCGACTAGCGACAGTAAGTTACAGAACAGTTGACGTTGATTTATCAGATGGTGCGAAAAGTCTATTCTTTAAGGACTTTACAAAGTACCATCTCAAGACTTATATCTACATTACCAATCATAATCTCCGTTAGCAATAACTTGAGCCCATTGTCCCACCACTTAATAATCGTTGCGATGAGGCAATTAGTGACCGATTTTGCAAAGCCATGACGAACAATTCCGCACTCCTGACCAACCGCGCGGAACTGGACGGGTTTGGGGCTTGGCACTGCATCCGCAAAGCGTTCGAGACAGCCAACTTGGAAGCCATCATGACGCTCATATTCTTTCAGCTGGTTGTAGCTGATACCAATGGGGTTGCAGGTGTAGGGTGTAGTACTTCTTCGCAAGGCCAACCGGTGAAGCTAAATTCTATCTCTCCCAGCTATTGATAGTATACATCTATGTACTGCCGATGCGGGGTGGGTAGGGGCGGGCGCCACTTTATTTATATTTCCGTCAAGATTTACCTCCCAAGCTACTAGTACGAGTGTAAACTAACCTTTATGCCTCTGAAAATTTAGTAGTTGTCTAAGAAGAATTATCACACAGAACCGCATGTGTGCACAGTAATGCCGAATTCATTGCATGACAGTGTAATAGTCTTTATGATATAGGTTATCCATAAGAGTAATGCTACGGCCCCTTGCTAATTCCAAGACGATTCTCTAGTAGTCCCAGGGGCTACCAGGAGGCCTTTACATCAATATGTCCATCTTCATCCACGTATTTACCGCGGTCCCATTCCCGACCCTCACCTTTCTTGGACCATTTCACAGTTTCCAGTCTACCATCGGTGTCACCCTCAGGCTTGGACGTAGTGTTGCTTTTCCAACGCTCCACAAAATCCGTGCTGAACCCAGCTTCGCGGAGCCGCTCCTCGCCTTTCTGCTTCCAACGAGCACGGTCACGGAGAGCTTCCAAAGCATAATCCCAATCATCGTCGCCGGTCATGAGACCAGGAACGTGTCTGCGAGAGTTCTTGTTACTGGACTGTAGATCGTTCTCTTCGAGCTGCACGTCTGTGGCTGGGTCATAGTCAGGTGCAAAATGGGCGTCGATGTTGCTCATATTGGGTTTGTAGGCACCTCGACCGCGCGAACGAATCAGCGCCGGCTCCTCGAATCCATCCTTTTTCGGTGGTAGGGGTCCAACGAGATCCTCTAGTGGATCCGACTCGCTGTCAGATGGCTTGCCTTCAGTTGCCGATGGGCGACGACGTGGTGGGTCCTCGCGCGACGCCCTATGGCCTCTGGAGCTATGACGGGCATAGTCCTTAGCATGAATCCTCCTCTCACTGTCTGTGGTTGTGCGCTTTTCCGACCTTTCGTGGGACCGAGACCGGGAGCGTGGCGGCGATTCACCACGCGTACGGTAGTTGTTGCGAACACTTCTGGAGCTTGAGTTTCGATCGATCCGTGGGGATCGACTCCTAGACCGCGAAGAAGATCGATGTCGACGACTTCTTCGGGAATGATCATGCCGGCTGACTTTGGTGTCATCATCCTTGTACCTCCTCCGGTCGCTGCTGCGCGTGTGATCACGTTCCGTGGACCTCGAACGACTCCCGTGTTTCCTCCGGCGGGAGCTGTGTCTGTCCTCGCGCTCTTCCCTGCCTTTCGTCCGCGAGCCTCGGTGGTCGGAAGGATAATCGCGCCGCCGCCGATGCTCCCGGCTTGACTCATGGGTTGAAGTGGACGCTGGATTTCTCAACTGCCGCATCCGCTCCCTCGCCTCTCGCTCCTCCTTCCGTTTCAACGCCGCATTATGACTGTCCGTCTCCTTGATGATATGCCGGAGAAACCTCGTATTGGGTTTTGGGGCAGCGCCTGTAGGTCTTGCGGGCTTGTATGTCAGCTCTTGCCCTCCTAAACCCCAGAGAACCCCATGCGCGCAACCATCGGTGCTCACCTTCTTGGCATATATGCTTCCAAGCCTTGTGCGGAGTACTTGAGGGAGCTATCGCGCGCCTCGCGCGCAAGGACTTGGGCAACGTAGTCATCGTCGTCGAGCGCGCCGAGTGATTTTGCTGGATTGGAAGACATGGTATCAGACGGTGCTATCGGTGGGGAACGCAGGAGATTTGATGAGTTGGGGAAATTGCATTATCGTCGGAAGCGGGGCAGGTGGAGGGGATAGTATTTAGACATAAATGGAACGTCGGAGTCGCATTCACCACTAGCTCATGAGGCGCTTGGCTGGGAAGAATCTGAATTCAATGACCCTGCAGATGTGAATACAAATGCAAGATACGATTGATTGCAGGAGGGAGCTACGAGCGGCGATACTGGCTGGTCATTGCGGCGGCGGAGACTTCACCGCCCAGCCCCGATAAGGCATTGTGGGTCGACAAAGGGCCACCATGAATGGGAAATCCACTGTTTACCTCCGCATGTTCTGCCGACACGCGCAGCAGCAGCAGAAAACCGCCGCTAGATCGTCAAATCCTCTTCGGTCGGCTACACACTTTCACCAATATATGGCCACTAGGCTCAAAAAAAATCCTGTCACCTACCTCGTACCTGTTTAATATCTACACCATCACCATACGATAAGACATGTCCGACCCGAACCCCGCAGAAGTACGAAAACAACTCCAGCAACTGGAACAGGAAAATGGCGACTTGAAGACGCAGCTGAATATCATACGGATCAGCGAACCAATATTTTCTCCGACATCTGAAAACCAGGCCACTACACCTTCGAAGCGCAACTCAGATGTCTCTTCCCTCGATAACCCAACACCTGCTTCATTGGAGGCAGACCTCAGCCACTACAAAGTGCGAACCCTTCAATTTTTTTTTTTTTTTCTAGCGAAAGTCTGAAAGTAAGCGCAGAGGAGTGGTATACTGATCAGCCATCTTTGAAGGAGTTATTTTCGAAACTACGCTTCTCTTATGTAGAGCAGGTGACAAAGGAGAAGTTCCTGCGCGCGATCGTCGGCGATCCTCCTTTGGTCGTTGGGCACAATGAAAACGTCGAACTCGAGACGCAACTGGCCGAGGTGAAGGCAGAACTTCGCGCAAGGAAAGAAGAGGTCCGGGCGATGACTGAGGAGATGGAGAAGATGGGTAGGGATTTGGCAAATCGTGAGTGCTCACAACAGGCCGAATGAAGTGTTGTGCAAGCTTGCCTGCCTTGGAATGTTGAAAACGCCTAACACGATAGTATGCCGGGACGCGCAGGATACAAAAACGTGCAATTACAGTTGACCAAGCTTTCAACGCTGCCGGAATCGATCGAGAATCTCGAATCAACCATCGAAGAGTTGCGTGCTAAACAAGTCGCTAACGCAAATGCATCATCGTCTCAGAATTTACCTCTGCCGGCCACGCTGAGCCTGCTATCCGAGCGGGAGGCCGAACTGGCGGCGCTTGATCGACAACTTGCCGCGGTGCAAAATGCCTTGCCCCGCAAGACTAGAGAGGCCGAGGCGGTGGAGCGCGAATTAAGTGTTCTAGAACGGCGGAAGACAGAAGCCATAGCGCAGGCGCAGGAGATTCAGAGGAAGAAGGAAGAGGGAGAGAGCGACGGACTCGAAGAAATGGGAAGATGGTATAGAAGCGCGGAAGAGACGCTGAAGAGGCTGACGGGGGTGCAAGGGTAAAAGATGTTGGTTTTGAGATGAGTAATGACTACGGATTTTTGGGTGTAAACGGCGTCTTGTGCTGAGTCCGATCTACAGATTGGGAATTCATGAGATTGGCAATACACGCGCAACTACGCAGAGAAGAAAGTAGGGCATCGAAAGTGAGCCGAAGGCTATTTGTTCATTCATGGTATTGCAAGACCGTACAACGTGATACGCGATACTGCAGCCATAAAGGAACCCCGCAGTTTTAATTTCGCTAACGAAACCCGTCCGTACTCCAGTTTTAAATCGTTTACTCCTCCTCTTCCTCCTCCTCACCGGCACCGCCGGAAGCAGCAGCGGCCTTCTTGCGCTGGACACGGCCAGGGCGGCCACCACCGTAGGGTGAGGTGAGAGCGAAGTCGATGTGCTTCTGGGAGTCGAGGCGGACCATGAAGGAGGGAACGTTGACGATCTGCTTGCCGACACTGATGATGAGAGTTAGCGCAAGTCCATGGTAGTGGATCAAGTGATGGTCGCATACCGGATGTGGCGCTGCTTGATCAGGACACGAGCGTGGTGGATGGACTTGGCAAGGCCAAGCTTGTAGACGCAGGTCTGAAGACGACGCTCCAAGAAGTCCTCAACACGGAGGGCCAGGACGTAATCGAGCTTCATGCGGGACTCATCGAGGACACCGATGCGGACCAGACGGCGAATCAAAGCGTTACCTTCGAAAAGACGCTTGGGGTCCTTCTCGTCGAGGGTGAGGAGCTCACTAAGGCATGGTTAGCGCTTGGGTCGAAGTTGGATCGCGCGGTCGCATTCGAAGATTATGATCGGGTGGTGGGTCGCATACCGAGCAGCACGACGGATCTTGGACAGGGTGAGCTGGACACGCCACACCTCACGCTTGTTGCGCAGGCCGTACTCGCCGACAACCTTCAGTTCCGAGTCACTATAGCATAATTAGACACAGGAACACACGACATAAACAGAAGCACGCTTCTGATCAGTGGCCGGAGAGTACTAACAGACGGGCCGACTCGAAAGCTATATCGACATTAGCACATGACCAACTTCCATATGTATCGAGATTTTTTTGTTCCATCCCAAACTGATAAGGCTACTTACGACGACGAGGGACCTTGTAGGTCTTGGAGTAAACGCGGCTACATCGCAGCAATTCGAGTTAGAAAATGCGACATCTCGAGTTCTCATCGTAGACCGTATACTCACGGGACGGGGGCCATGACTGCTGATTGCGCGTTGTCGCGATGTTGTCGTGCTACCGAACTTCACGAGAATCGTAGACGTTCAGGATGATGAAGAAGCGTTTTGGAGATGGAGACTAAGCGAGCGAAGGTGGAGCCGCATCCGGATTAGTGCGAGGGCTAGCCCTCGGCGGCGGAGAACGGGCACACTAACTACCCGAACAAGTCTACACCATCGCGACGGGCGGCAGAGTGAGGCACTTTTTCGACGTCGACAAGTTCTCAACACCAGCACCACCAACACCGCCGAAATGGGTCACTCGCACGGTTTGAGAGCCGGCACTCGGGTATGTCGATATCTGGAGGATTTTTGCATCGCCAATTTTCGCTGGTCGGGACGCACGCGCTGACCACAAACTATCGTTCAGTATGCCTTCAGCCGCAACTTCAAGGAGAAGGGTCAGATCGCCCTGTCGACCTACCTGAAGACCTACCGGTACGACCGATTTTTTTCCTCCGCCGAAAACACCGGTATATACGTGATTTGCAGGATCTGATAGTTTTGATATAGGGTTGGCGACATCGTCGATGTCAAGGTTAACGGTGCCGTTCAGAAGGGGTCAGTACCAATTTTCCGCCCGATCCAGCCGTGACGAGTCCGAAAAGAACGACTTGGCTTGGTTGCCTCCGCCAACGTGATCGAATGGTTTTTGCTGAGATTTGGAATAGTATGCCCTACAAGGTCTACAACGGAAAGACCGGTGTTGTCTACAACGTCACCAAGTCCTCCGTCGGTGTCCTCCTCTACAAGGTCGTCGGCAACCGCTACATGGAGAAGCGCATCAACGTCCGCATCGAGCACGTCAAGCACTCCCGTTCCCGCGAGGACTTCATCAAGCGCGTCAAGCTGAACGCCGAGAAGAAGCGCCAGGCCAAGGAGCAGGGTGTCCACCTCCACCTTAAGCGCCAGCCCGTCGGCCCCCGCGAGGCTCACACCGTTGAGGGTTCCGCCCCCGAGACTATCACCCCCATCCCCTACGACACCCACATTTAAACGAATGATATCTGGTCGTTTGCGGTTGCTTGGTGTTTCTGGGTTTTGCATCTGGGGGTTAACCTTTGCATTAAGATGAGATGAAGCAGGGTTCCCGGGTGTACTAGCACACCTTGATCTTGTGCATAGATTCCCCTGAATGAAAGAAAAAACAAAATTTTCATTTCCTTGTTCAAAAGCACTCCAACACAACCTGCGCCCATCGCCGAGCTGCCATGAGTTTATTCCGCACGTCTTCATGAGGACCGCTGGCGGTTGCCCCGCCATCACAAGACAAGAGGCGACGAATTCTACACCCCCGACTTTATCTCCGATGTTCTGCTCTGTTGGAGGTCAATATCGTCTTTGTCATGTCATCGGACTGCCGACGCCCGATCTTATGCTGGGATACCCGAACCGCTGCATACTCAGTCGTTGTACTGATACGCCCTGTAAGGCCAGCGCCTCATCCAAAGCTCCTCCCATCGTGCGCGCTCTCCATATTATTGTAGTTCTAATACCTTGCAATCTCTGTTCACGTAGTTATATTATAGCCCAGTCGCACCCAGCCTTCATGGGGAAATGACCCTCGCACCGGTGATGTCACCCCGGATCTCTTATCGGCGCCGCACCGTCGCCCCTATGTAGGCTAGAGTAGTGGATCTCGACTCATTCAGAACCCTAACGCTGTTAACGTCTAGTATGTTTTATGCCCTGGCTACATCATGAGCTGTGACTCTTGGGATCGCCGATCGTATCGAATTTGATCCGACCAAATATTTTGGCACTCCACTGTTGCAAAGCATTCTATGAGTACCTCATTATCTCTGAGACGTCTTCTAATCGGTACTGTCCATCCCGATCTAATTCGAAGTCATTTGAATACTGCAGCGAATGGATTTCTTGAATGTCTTCGAAAATGGGCCTAGTTCGCATGGATTGGACGAGAGACTTCATGCTGTTTTGCGCGTGGACGAACTCCTTGTGATCGCAGGTCGACCTTTAGGTTTCTACTTTCAAGAGTAGCAAAGCACTGGTGATTCGCGGTGATCATACAGATTAAGTGACGGTTTAGTAACGTACGGTGTTCATGAGCTATGAAGGACCACCATTCGATCTGCTGTCGACCCGCTCAAAAATAGTTCAACGTAACGATACCCGCGGCCGATTGGGTATGAGTATTTTGATGGTTTGAAAGGAGAAGGAGAATTTAGTAGTGCACTGTGGGTTTCAGCCGAGCCTTCACTGAAGCCTCGAGTTTCAGTTAATGCCCAGTAGCAAGGGCAGCAAGACGGCTGTTGTTGCAAAAGCATCCTCCGACCGTATCAAAAGCTCTGTGTCATGGTTCTGCGGTTTAGATTGCCCAAATGCGGTAACGGTGCTAGGTAGCCTGGAGGTGTCGTGCTGGTAAAGCGACTATTTGAACTCATCGTCGGCCAGTGCATCTCTGTATACTGTGCAATGCAATATTCGTGAGAGGTCGCAGCCAGTGAGTATCAATGTAACCGGCGAATCGCGATCAACACAAACAGTGTGAGATGTAAGTTGCTAGCACTGGGGGCTGAAGGTGAATCTATCCGATGCGGGCGGCAACAAAAGGCTCCAACGCGGCTCCAGCCACAGGGTTTGCGGGAGGTGGCCGCGCTAACCGAAAACAGCCACCCTAGTGCCTCAACCTGAACCGTCCCGTCAAGTCACCGTCAATGACTGCAGCAGCCATCACCCGATCATTCACAAGCATCACCACCTCCTCTATTGCAACCTCCCCCCCCTTAACGGGTCTGCCTGGGCAGCAGCTTTCACTTCTCACTCTACAAGCTCTCATACGCCTGCCCTTCCTCCGCCTTCCTATCTTTCACGGCTTTCCAGCCATTCTGCTGATCTTGGTCCCCTCTCCGCCGTCCACCTGGTCGTTCGGAGCTTTTACGGCTCAAACAGTTGAGCTAGCAAGTCCAACCGTGGCGATCTCTGATACCTGACAATAGGTATATCCTCAGACCATTCCTTTGCATGCATCCATGACTTTCGGATCTCAGCCGCCTCTTGTTTCCATATTTACCTGTTCAGAACACTTGTCTAACAGATGTCGCAACCTGTTGGCCTCACAGACTCGAGAATTGTTATGGCAGAGCAGAGTAACCACGATGTGGTAAACCAAACCCTGTCGGGCGGCGATCCTTCGCCTTCCGACGTTCCTGCGAGCACCGCCGACAAGACACCTGTTGGAGGGGACGCGGGAGAGACGAAAGATACCGCTACAACGATACGAGCCGAGACGGGGACGAACGCTCAACAGGGTGAACGCAAGACGGGTGCAGCAGCAGAACCCTCAGGTCAACACGGGAAAGGAGAGGATTCTGAACAACCGCCGAGTGTGAGTGGCCTAACTTGAGGCGTGTGTCGCGACCTGCAGTATACTGAATGAGACCCAGGACTCTTCGAAGTACGCTCCTGTGCCGGTCGCAGCACGAGCGCTAGAAATGAACGGTGTAACATCTGGGTCGGATATTGGGGAGGACACAGCTTCGCAAGGAGGTTCTGAGTCCGACGCAAGTCGTGCTGAGAGCAAACTCCATGCGCGTGCCGGTTCGAAGAAGCCGACGTCATTTAAGCCGGTTACTTTTGCCAAATTTTCAGTTCCCAAGGCGCCTGGCACTCCTCCCATCAGCAAACCCTCCGAGAAAGGTAACTAACTCGAATAAACTTGCTTGTCGAATCTATGTTCTAACGGCCCACAGCCCCCTCCTCGACTCTGACAACTCCCCTGGGTACGCCGCAGCAGACCTCACGACCCCGATTGGTCGTAAAGTCCACTAGCAGCCTACGGGACTCGTTATCAAAATCAGGCACGAGCGCATCCAAAGCAGGCGGTAGCGGACCGGATCCAAATCAGGTTTGGAATAAAAATCGACGTAAGGCTTAATATATGACATGCTTTTATCAATCCTTTGCTAACACTGTTTTGCATTCAGCGGTTCAGCAAACTCCCCCTAAACACCTGACTGATGAGGAACTCAAGCAACAATATGGCATTCACATGACTTCTAGAATCCAAGAAGACGGCGCGGGCACGGAATCGAAATGGGCAGATATCGATGATGACGAAGACGACTGGGCTCCTGAGACGATTGAATGGACTGACGGGACGAAAACGAACCTTACCCACCCGGAGCCTCCCACAACAGCGCCGATACCGACTCAAGAAAAGGCCGTCGCAGACTTTCAAAAGGATTTCCCTCTGGTCGAGCAAGCTGCGCCTCCAAAAGAACTCCCGAAGCCTATTCCAAATATTCCCAAAACCATAACGTCAGTTGGTCCAAACCCGACTGTCTTACGACTTGGAGCGAACGCCGAAAGACAAGCTAAGAGCGCTAGTATCGTCGCGAAGGGACCAAATGACAAATCTCCCTTGCTATCGACTAGTCCGGCGCCGCCTCCGGCCAAGTCACCCTGGGCTCCCCTTCCCCCGGTCGAGAAAGTGTCACCTGTGATGCCCCCAATGCAGGTTCAACCACCTATGCGCCTCCCCGTCAGGGAATCCCATGTTGCCGATAGTCTCAGCGGGCCATTGCCTCCCAAGGAGATTGCAGCCGATGATTTCAACCGATCTTGGAGAGAAATGCAGTCTGGAACACGCGAGCTCTACAACTCTAGATCGGGACGTTACGAGCCTGCTCCTGACACCAGGAAAGGGCCATGGCGTGCTGAGCAAACCTTCCGCACACCATCTGTACTTCAGAGACCAGCACAAGGCGATCAGGCTGGCCCGGCAGAGCCTTCTGCGGCATTCCAGACGCATCGTTCGAGTGGCCAAGATGGTGTGCACTGGACGCGCCGCCGAACATCTTCCAATGTCAGTGGTGGAAGCGGCAGTTTTGGACGTCGGATGTCGATAGGTCGACCTGACGTGGTTCACAAAGCATTCGAGTCTAGAAGGGGCTCTCAAGTCAATGGGATGCCTGATCCATCCATCTTCATTAGAGAGGCACCTAAAGACATTCTTCACCGTGAGATCTCTCCTGATCGACGTGGCGCTGGCCCTTATTCTGCGCGGGGTCCTACGCATGTTCAAGACAGAAATACCACTGCGCCTACCGATGTGAGTCAGGCAGTCGATGAGCAGACGACAGTGCCGCAGGCGCCTCAGGAAGACCCTGTAGCAATGCAAGAACGTATCATGAAGGAGAAAAGAATGGAAGCTCGCCAGCGGAGGCTTGATCAGGAGAAGGAAGAAGAAGCTGCAAAGCGTGAACGGATCCGGCAGAAGCTCGAGGCGCTTGGTCCTCCACCAGAGAAACCAAAGTCACTACGCAGAGAATCAGTTGACACTGGAAAGAATGAAGCTAATGCTCAACAAGCTACCGCACATGTGCTACATTCCCCTCCGAAGCCTCCTGTTCCTGAGCCAAGTGGGGAGCCCAAGCAGTATGGAATGATGAAAGTTCACCACCCCGACACTGTGAAGAAGCTCGTCGAGAGGGAAAGAGCTGCGGAGAAACCTGTTGCCACTGCTGGTGTGCGACGCACATCTTCACCGGCTCGTGAGCCCAAGCAAGAGGCGCCTTTGCCGAATGGGATCCAGCAGAGCAACGATGTCCCGGCTCCGTCGTCTGATCAACTCCCAGAAGCTAAAATTGACGAGCAGAACCCGCAGTGGAGGGGCAACATCAACCCTCCTAGCTCATATCTGCCGTGGTCACCGAATCCCAAATTCGTGAACACTGCCCCTCCAATCGCAAACCCTTGGAAGCCTCTCAGCAGTGATAAAACCTTAGGAAACGGGATCTTTGAACAGGGCCTTGGGGGTTTCCCAGCACGAGACATCTCACTCCGCAGTCACCTAGGTTTGGATCAACCGCCCATTGCACCAGCACAGACCTTCTCCGCGCCTGCGCGGTCTCCGCAAGAAACTACGTCGATATCACCTCTACCATCGCCCGAGGTTCGCCATGTCCCTTACGAGGTTATCAACCCTATTGGGCGGCCCGGCCCCATTGGTCCTCCCAGTTCGCAGCATATTCATCATCGTCAGCATGAGAACCGTGCTCCTGGTACTGCAGCCTGGAACAATTTCCATGCGGTTGCTTCAAAGCGTGAGGCAGAAGAGAACGATAAGATCCTCAACGAAATGAATGCCATGCCACAAGGGCCTTCGTCGCTTCAGGTCACATTCAACGAAACCTGGCGTCAAGTCCGCACCGGGGACCAGGCTGGACAGAGACAGGTGGTTGGGATTGCGAGGTCGAACGAGAATAACGCTCCCCTTGCGAACCCTCTTCCGGGGCTTGATCACCCCGTTGGCAATCTTCCTTTTGCAGATACGCACGCACGCCCTCTTGGTAGTGTTCCAGTGCGTAGTTCACGCTTCTTCCCACAGGCTACAGAGACTCCTCGAAAGCCAATGGCTGATGAAGCCGAGTACTATCGAAGCCCTTCCCCACCTCCGCCTGAAGAAATGTCCAGCCATCCGGTGTACACAGGTGATTGCAACAGACCCTTGGTCCATCTCCCAGCACCTAAGCCTATAGTCAAGCTCCCACCGAAGATCGTCGCACCCCCGCCACCGCCGCCAACTTTCGCCTCAATGGTTGCTGCACCCCCTCGCACCGGCCCGCAACATGGTTCGACAGCGACTTCCTGGCAGGAAAAGATCAATACTCTGTTCGGCAAGAAGACCGTGCCGGAGAAGAGGAATGCTCTGGCAGTCACATCAGCGACGAAGGAGCCTCTCGATGTTCAACTCCATATTGCTGCTGTCTCGGTTTCTCTGCCCTTTAACGTTGAGCTCACAATCGGCGACGGGGAGATAACTGCAAAGCAAGTAGAGGAAGCCGAGGAAATTTTCGAAGATCGCGAAGTGGGGTCTCTGCCAGTTGTGCGAGTGCCAACCCACGCTCCTCCGGCAGCATGGCAAGCTGCCTTACCACCCACGCAGTCGAAGCTACGAGCCAAGAACTTGAAGTCGATGCAAATTCATAGCATTGAGCCGTTCTCAGTTGGTTTCCATGACAAAGACCCCTCCGGATCTATTCGCGCTACGATCCGACTTCCGGGCGCTATTCTTGCGAAGACTATCTCCCTTCCAAAGAAAATGGCAACGCCCAACCCCCGGCCGCGCAATTCGACGACATACAAACCTCGTAAGAATACGAAGCCACGTGAGGCCTCCGGAGGATCAGTCTCCAAAAAGCCCACCTCTGCTCAGCAGACGAATGGCGGCAGTTCTCCACGACGTCAATCTCGAAATGCGTCCTGGGGCCCTCGCACACTCAGTGGGTCTCAGTAACCTGGTTCTTTTGGAAAAAAAATTCGCTCGCTTTTGCTGGTTGCCAGATGTTCATTGAGCGTTCATTTCGGTATTGATGAGCTACGCCTGCGGGGGATTTGTTGATCGGTCTGGGTTCGGTCTGAATTCTTAGTACTCCTTTAATCTTCCTTTTCTTTTGCCCGTACAATATTCCCTGGCGCTATACCTTGTTAGTACCTATTTCAGAGTAACATACTGATCTTCGAGCGCGGGATGGGATGTCGGCTTCTTTTCAAGGCAAGATGCGTCGGCGGTTGCTACCACTCACTCCCTTGCCATTATTCCATTTGGCATGAATCATGGATGTCCATTTCTTCATCCCTCTTTCTTTCTCTCTCCCTCTCTCTCTCTCTCATTTCCAACCTCCTCCGCATCTCTTGGTCCTGTGTCATCTCCCAACCCTCGACCTCTTATCTCCCTCATCATCCATATGTTAACACTCAACCCATATTCTGCCCTCCACTCTTCTCTCTCCCACTCTCATACTCTTTTCTCCCAGCCTGAAAACTCACTTCAAACGACTTGCTTGTATGGAAAAAGATCCTTGTCTTCCCTCCCCCCCCCCCCCCCCGGCTCAGACATGTTGTTCTACCATGACATGGTTTTCCCAAGCTCGTTGAGTCCAATAGGCAGTTGGGTTGGCTATTGCACGTGCACGCAAAGGAAAAAAAAAGAGGAAAGCCGGGAGAGAGAGGGAGAGTGCACCTGCGGGCCCTTTTTTGTTCTTTTGTACCCCGTTCCTGAAAGCGTGTAATTAGCTTTTGTGTGCGCGCGCGCACTCGCTCCGAAAGTGTGCCCCCATTCTCAATACCTAACAGAATGTTCTACTCGTGGTCCTTGGGACGTAGAGGGCTGGTTGTTTATCTGGGAGTAGAGAGTTTAGAAGGAGAGTTTTGGGGGAGTATCATTAGTACTTACAAAACACTTTACGGTGGTGAGTCTGACGGGACTGTATATCAATATCATAATATAAGATAGGAGGGGTGAGGACGGGCTTTCTGGACCGTAGATGCCCTGTACTGCAGAAGAGATATATAGGGTTATTGCTGTGGTCATCCTCCAATGCTATTTGCAATTTTGATTGCTTATATCTAGGCCATGTGAATAAATGAGCCACTACTACTACTACTACTACTACTACTACTACTACTAATTTATTGAACCTTTTCGAACACGCAGGAAAACACTCATCAGAGCGTTTAGCGAAACATCACCTGTTCCTTGCTCCAAAGACTATAAGATCGTAAAATTACACCGTCAAAAAAAAAAAAGGCTCAACTAGAGAGAAAAAAAAAACACCCCGGTTTCCTCTTCAACACCATAAGATCACCAAACACCCCGGACAGAAACAAAGGCAAATTATTTTTAAGAGGCAGCACCGAACTCCGAGAGAACAAAATTCGTAAATGAAGAAGGGAGGCGAAGAGGGGTATCAATCCTCGCTTTACTTGGCGAGCTAGAAAAGTCTTGTTTAGATCATTGACCATAGGCAACCTGATGGCAAGGCCACACACAGCACCACGTCCGCCTTACCAGTTCCACGTGCGCGATGAGGCAGTGAAGACTGGCGGCTTCCATTGCAGGCGGGCGGGATCGATCTTGCGAGCCCCCTTGAGCTTTTCCTTTTCGAGACGCTTTTTGTGCTCTTCGACCACTTGGTCGGTGAGGACTATGACCCAGTTGCCTTTCTGTAGTTCAGGGGATTGTGTTAGTGGGTATGTTGGTGTCGGAAGATGGGCGGGCGTGCTAACATGGGGGCAAGAGGGAAGGGGAGGGGGAAGGAAGGGGGCAGAAAACATACATGATATCTAAGCATGTTGAACACGACCAGTGTTTCATGGACGTCTTTCTCGGTCATGGAGGTCTGCAAGGATAGGTCGTGTTCGCTGATGTTCTCCCGTCCAGACTCCATGAGGATCTCCACGAGCGTCTCTCGCCAGTATTGTCGGTAGCCCAGCAGACCCAGATCACTGAGGGGCTTCTCAGGCGAGCCCAATTTGCCCTCTCGCTTGCTCAACTCGTAGCTGAACGAGATCAGGAGACGACCGTAGCCTCGACGCTGGTACTGGGGCAGCGTCAGGATACAGGCCAGGTTGTAGCCCTCGGCGGAATCCTTCTCCTTCGAGAAGTAGCCGACCAGATGGCAGCCGGTCTCGTCGCGGCTGCACATGCAGTAGAACAGGAAGGGGTCGACGTCGTAGTAGAGCGTCTTGTGGTCCAGGAACAGCTTGCTGAGCAGACAGAGATTCCGGCACCAGGTGCGCTGCCGGCGCCCGTCGACCTCGAAGAAGGAGATGTAGTCGTCCCGGTAGATCTCGTTGCCGGGCGGGTGCACCAGCGTGCACTTGGAGCGGTGGCGTTCGAACGACCGCTTGTTGTCGAAGTACCCCAGGCAGAACTCATCGATGTACACAATGTCCGCGTCCGAGAACGAGGCCGGGTAGGGCGAGAAATACCACGGCTCAACGTCGTACTTGCCCATCTGCAGTCGCGTCAAGTTCCGCACGCGGTGGATCTCCGTCGGGTTCTGCGTCATACTGCCGCTGGTCCGCAGCCGCTCGATCTCCTCTTCGCGGGACATGAGGCCCAGCGCTTTCTCTTCTTCCTTGACGTCTTTGGAGAAACTGACATCGACCATGTCCACGTCGTCGGATTCCGGCTTGGGGGTCCCGTCCGCGGAGACGGCCTCGGAGCCGCCGCCGATGGAGAGGTTGGCCGGCGTCTCATCGCCGCGGTTCTCCTTCCCACCCGCCTTGGAGGGACGCTGGGCTTTGCCGACGTTGGCGTTCTTCCCCGTGAGGAGATCCGGGGTGGCTGAGACATCGCGGCTCTCGGCTCTGGCGCGTTTCTGCGTGTTCTTGCTGGGCGCTTTGTTGCCGGGGCCGGCTTTCTTCTTCTCCGGTTTCTCTGGCTGGGGCCATTCAACTTCATGCGACAAGTCGATACGTGATGAGGCAATCCACTCTGTTGTCATGTCAGGCCTTAAAGTGAGTCCACCCTAAGTTCTCAGAACACTCACCATCAAGACGCTTGTTGAAATCAACATAATGGACACTGCGCAGCTGCCATCAGCACGAGACTCAAGATGCAAAAGTGCAGCGGAGGGGTAGCTTGAGCATACTAAAAGGAAGGGCCGTCTTTTCGCTGCTTTATAGACAAGATTTCCGCTTTCCGTAACTCTCCATCCTAGACGGGGAAGCAAGTCAGCTATGCTCGTAGTATACAGACAGCCCATCACCATGTCACGTGATGATGGGCCGCGCGAAAAGTGAAGCGCAGGGAAATTGCGACAACTGACTTTCTGTACCATAGCTTTCACACCGATCCTATCATTCTGATCAGTATTTCCGACCGAGGAAAGCGAGGCTGAAAACCTCGAAACAAGCATCCAAAAAATTATTCTATCGCTTACCGGATGGTACTGAGGGTGGCGAACCCTTTCTCAACAGGGTCCGGTGTGCCGGTTTCGTCCCTGCCGCCCATGGTGCTCGAGGGACGATTTATTCTTTCGATACAAGGCAATTTCTTAGATGATAGGGCTCAAGGGCAAGAGTTTCGTGATGAAAACGCGAAGGGGCTTGATAGGAGGGGATGGGAGGAATCTCCGTTTCGATGCGCCGGAAGAGACCGCCTTTGAACTTTTGCCATCCGCTTTTGGTTCATCCCCAGCTTGCGCTTCGGTACGTTGCTTCGATTCGCCGTCAATCTATGGGATGCTACATCTCTTACACGTGTGAATATACGATGCATCTAGAGCAAAATAACGATTGCCTGCACATAAGCAATTTTTTGTTACGCATAGTTGTGCGGCAAACCGACTTCTGTAACTGATTCCATGGTGTGTGCCCCGTCTCATGGCTCCGCACCGAGGAAGTACTATACAAATCGTACATGTAGGGCATGATTAAATTCAAATCACCAGGTCAAACGTCAATCTAGGTATCCTTGTTGGGGCCTCAATGCCAGCCATTCACCATGCCCCCCGTGCCTGTCATCAGCTCATCCAGCTCATCCTTCCTGCTCTTGTAGAGGTCCTGCGCCTCACGTTCTCTCCTCATGACGAAAGCAACATCGTCTCGAAGCTTCTCTAGCCTTCGCGAGAGCGCCGACTCTTCTGAGATTTGGAGAGTCCGGAAAGCATCTAGTTCATCCTTCGATCTTTGAAGTGCATCGCTGGCTTCGACGATCTTCGTGCGAAGCGTTTTCGCCCGGTTCTGATAGCCACCATAGTGTAACGCAAGCTTCTTCTCCAGCTTGTTTCCTCGCTCAGCTGTGGCCAGCAATGAGGCTTGTTCGTTATCAAAAGCGCTGATCATGCGCTGCTCTTGTTGGAAGACGTCTTCCTCCTCGTCGGTATAATTGGCAAGGCCAGGGAGAACATCTGAATGCTTGTTTGACCACTGCTTATCAAAGTTCTCTTGCCATTCCTCGAGCTTTCCGGATGTCGAGGCTTCCGCCGCGACCACTGCACGGGCCTGCTCAATCAAACTGTCGTCAAGTCGCTCTAGTTTCCGTGCCTTGCCCTCCACTTTAGCACCAGGAACAGGGAACTTGCGGGCATCGTGGGCGATCAAGAGGGCGGCTTCCTTCGCAATTAATGCAGAGATGGGCTCCGTGATATGTGATACCCGATCCAGCATCGCATCGATATCGAGAACGCTTGGTCGGGGTAGGGCGCGCTGATATACTTGTGTCTGACGTTTGAGTTCGGCCTGGGCGGCGCGTTCTCGCGCTTCTCTTTCTCTCCTATCACGTTCAGCCGCATCTTCTTCGGTCTCCTCAGCGGCTACCGAGGGCTCATTGGACTCCGTGGGAAGTTCCTCAAGCTCCCACTCCGTCTCTTTGGGTTTGGGAAGAGCAGCCAGCTTGCCGCGAATGGTCTGACGTGCATTCTTCTCGTACATCTTGATATCACGGGGGGTGCTGCCGATAAGCTGCCCGGCCTCTGCCTGATTGAGCGCAAAATGATCTCGAGGCGTCCGCAGCGGAGTAGCGCCGGGCCCGATACCGCCGCGCATAGGTGTAGCGCCGACGCCGTTGGCTTGTCGGAATGGGGTGGCCATAGGGTTGGGAGTGACGATTTCCTGGCGGCGAGGGGCAATTCCATCGAATCCAGTAGTAGCCCCGCCCTCGTGAAGGGGAGTATTCTCTCCACCTAACAGAGACGATTGGGTTTCGGTGAGAGCCTTGATGTTTCGAATTTCGTTTGCAATGTGATCCTCCTGCGGGGGTGCTCTGGGTGTCCTGATAGGTGTCCCACCAACAATCGCATTGTAGTTACCGAGTAAGCCTCGAGCTCCCTCCTCATCACCTGCCATCTTACTGGCCCTATCACCCGCCATGCCCATCTTGATGATGTCTTCCATCTCGCCCTCGCTGACCTGGGGGCTCGGAAGCACAAGCGCCCTCCGCTTGCTGCTTTGCTCGGCCTCCCTGATCTTCTGCATCTGGCCAGCGCGAGCGGCAGCTGCGAATGCGGCGGAGTTGCTATTCTTGTCGTTCTTCCGTTTCTTCCGTTCCGCGTCTTCGTCCTGATCACCCTTCCGTTTATTCGCGAGTTGTTGCTTGCGAGGATCGAACATCTCCCGTTGCCTCTCGTTTCGACCTTGTTCATCTGTGGTATCGTAGAAGCCAGGTGCCGCAGGCTTCTCAAAGGGAATGTCGGCGTTATAGTCCATTTCGCCCTTCTTGCGAGTAACGACCTTGATATTAATGCCAGCATTTTTGAGTTCACGTCGTTTCTGAAGGACAGCCAGTCGTCGCGACTCTTCCAACTGTCGTTCTCTGGCCTTCCGCTTGGCCTTCTTTCCCTGTGTGTTTGCTAGACGGGCACGCGCTTCACTCAGCATCTCCTTCTCATCTTCATCAAGGTCGATCGTATCGGGACGAGCGGGTTTCGATTCCGGGTCGGGATCCAGTTCACCAGGGCTAAACAAAAGTCAGTACCTTGTTCTGCGGGATAGATTGTTTTGGAGAAGGTCACAACATCATACCGTAGTCGGCGGACGTCGTCCGCACTGGGGGCAGCAGCCTCTGCCCCGGAAGGACCTCCCAGGCCCAGCTCATCATTTTCCCGAGCTTCAGCCTCATCCAACAGCTTCTGGTAGCGCTCCAAGCATTGTGTTGCCGTTCGCCCTACAATGGGCGCAATTGTACGCCATTGTGTGGGCATCAACTTGGCCAGGTGCAACAGCTTCTCATCCTCCTCCCTCGACCACTCGACTTTGCGGATACCAGGATCCAGCCATTCCACCCACCGCGCCTTGCATTGCTTGGGTGTCTTCCGTGCTAAGAGAGAGGATACGCGAGCCCACTGATTCATACCATACTTGGACACCTAGAAAAAAAGCGGTACATTAGCATTGCTTAGAGCTCCAGAGCACCACGTCTATCGATCGGAGAAAAAGGGAAAGCTTACCGCCGCACGAAGCACCTCATCCTCAATGTTGGTCCTGGGTAGCATATTAGCTGGGAGTTCGGCAACATGAAGTAATGTAGCAGTGGCTCTCACCAGACACCTCCTTTGACGACGGGCATGGCTGTTCAGAGTCCGGCGGCTCACAGGAGCGAGCCAAGGGAGATAAAATATCAAGAAAGAATCTGGAAATGGTCTCAAAGTAATGCGCAGGGGGAATGACAAGTGGAACACTGATGTCCACGATGGGGAATGCCGACGAGCAATCAATGCGGTGCAAAGCGAGAGATCAAGTCCTGAGGCGGCGGCGTTCGTCACCTGCCCGCGATAGCCGCGCAGAGCCTTAGCGCGCGACAACTACGCTAGCGTCGCTCCTCCCCGCGGGATCTTATGTAAGCGGGTCCAGATTTTTGGTCCGAAAATCAAAATTTAGGATGCCGCCAAAAAAAAGATAAGATCTCACAAGTCATATCTCCATAGCAGATTTCACACAAGATGTCTGCTTCCACTGAGGCCCCCAGGCAATTCAGCCAGCCATCCCGCAAGGGTAAGAAGGCTTGGCGCAAGAATGTTGATATCACAGAGGTTCAAGAAGGCCTCCGCCTTTTGAAAGATGAAGAGATTAAAGGGTACGGGAATCTTATCAGGTTTTCCTTCTTATTTGTATTTGGAGTCTCGCTAACGTGCCATTTACATCTAGAGGTGTTATTGCGGAGAAGCCCTCGGACGAGCTGTTCGTTATCGATACCACTGGTTCAGCAGAGGTCCGCAAGGCAATTCAGAAGAAGCGCAAACTTCTGAAGTCGGAGGAGATAATCGCACAGCGCTCTGCGATTCCTGCGGTGGACACACGCACGCGATCGAGCTCGAAGGTCACTGACGGAGTTCTCGAACCGAAGAACAAGAGACAGAAGAGTGATTGGGTTACCCGGAAGGATTGGCTGCGCTTGAAGCAGGTGGCCAAGGAAGGCAAACCCACCAACAAGACCGAAACCGACTTGTACGACCCCTGGGCCGATGCGGAGGACACCACTCGCTATGACGACCCCAAGTTCGATTTCCTGGAGAAGCCCATGCAGAAAGTCGAGCCCGTTACCTTGAAGCACGCTCCGATCTCGCTCGCTGCGAACGGCAAGCCGATCCCTGCAGTTCGCGCCCCAACTGCCGGCACGAGTTACAACCCCACATTTGAAGATTGGGACAAGCTACTACAAGAGCACGGCCAGAAGGCAGTCGAGGATGAGAAGAAGCGCTTGGAGGAAGAGCGCAAGGAACAAGAAAGACAACGGATGATCGCAGAGGCCAAAGACGACGATGGTGCGGTAAGATCGGATGATGAAAGTGCTTGGGAGGGCTTTGAGAGCGAATACGAGAAGCCTGAGTGGCTAAACAAGAAGCGTCCGCAACGAAAGACCAAGACTGAAAGGAACAGGATCAAGAGACGCAAGGAGGCCGAGCGGCAAGCGAAGTGGGAAGCTCAGATGAAGAAGAGACAGGAGCAGTATGCGCGGGCCAATCTCACTCCCGAAGAAATCGAGGCAAAGGAACTTGAGCTTGCCGAGCAGTCGGAAGACAGCTCTTCAGAAGAGGAAGGTGATGATACTGTTCTGCGCCGCAGACCTCTCGGAAAGCTACGGTATGTCGCACATTCCCCGTTTTGTCGTTACCTTTTGCTTACTGGCCTGATAATAGTGCACCCGAGAAGCGATTGGAGGTCGTGCTACCGGATGAGCTCCAAGACTCGTTGCGTCTGCTCAAACCCGAGGGCAACTTGCTCGATGACCGTTTCCGGACCTTGGTTGTTCAGGGCAAGCTGGAGGCTCGCAAACCAGTGACGCAGGTCAAGAAGCCCAAGCGGGAGATTACGGTGAAATGGTCCCACAAGGACTTCAAGGTTCCAGGCTTGTAAATAGATTCCCTTTTTGGCGTTTCATGCGGTGGATTTTAAAAGCAATTTCACATAATATGGGTCAAGGCTGCACGGAAGATTTGTACATGCCATTATCATACTTGATCATAGAGAGTTCGTAAACAAATGAGCAGATACGTACTCTTGGAATCCTGGAATCCTGGTGGGCTGGCTGATATGATATGGGCAATATCGATAAGCCCCCTGCAACAGCGATCGAGAACTGACATGTGGATCCTGTTCCGAAAATTCAGTGCGGGAGGGAAAGCCGGTTCAGGAAAGTTGCCGGGCCAGCCTAGCCTGCCTCCGCAACAACTGAATCTTTTTTTTCTTGCTCCCGGATGCCCCCTCTGCCATCCTGACCAGACCACAATGCAATAGCGATTGGATCTGATTTTGGAATGGACTTGAAAAACCTCTCCAGTAATTGGAAGAAACTCCAGGGGACGTTAAAGCAAAGCAACGCCTCCTCCTCCTCCTCCTCCGCCACCAAGCGCAAGATCTCGGACCGCGAGACGCAAAATGCTACCGTGAAGAAACGCCGAACAGACGCAGCCGACGGGAAACCGAAGATCGAACGGAAGAAAGCCACCATCAAGAAGAAAATCATGTCGCAAAGCGCCGCCCAGGATGGAGGCCAAGAGGCCACCGCATCAGATAGCTCAAAGCCAACGTCGCGGAGGAATTCCGCCGCCGCAGCGGTCGTGGAATCGAAAACTTCCAAGGTCAATGAAGGCCGTTCACCAACGTCAGTTACCATCTTATTTGCTGTCTCGGCTCTCCTCAGATATGGTTGCTGACTGTAGACTAGTGCTGAGCTAGGAAAATACGTTGCGATGGATTGCGAAATGGTGGGCGTCGGCCCCAACCCCGATAACGACTCTGCCCTTGCGCGTGTCAGTATTGTCAACTTCAACGGCGAGCAGGTTTACGACTCGTATGTCAGACCCAAGGAGATGGTCACAGACTGGCGAACGCATGTCAGCGGTATACTTCCGAAACACATGGCCAATGCGCGGTCACTCGAGCAGGTTCAAAAAGAGGTTACGGAAATTCTCAGTGGGCGCATACTCGTGGGACACGCGGTGAGCAACGACTTGGATGCTCTGCTTCTGAGCCACCCCAAGCGCGAGATCAGAGATACCAGCAAACACCAGCCCTACCGAAAGATAGCTGGCGGAGGCTCCCCCCGTCTGAAGATGCTGGCTTCCGAATTTTTGGGTTTGAATATCCAAGATGGTGCCCACTCTAGTGTTGAGGATGCGAAGGCGACGATGCTCCTGTACCGGCGGGACAAGGACACATTCGAACGAGAACACTTGAAGAAGTGGCCGGTGCGCGTGATAGTCGAGAAGGAACCGGGTGACGATCAGAAGAAGAAGAAGAAAAAGAAGAAGAAGAACCGTAAGAAGTGATTCCAACAATATCCTGATGAGTCGGCAAGATCTATCTGTCTTAAATATACCCCAGCTTGATTAAGTTACAAAGCTACTCAACATCTGAGGCTTTTCTGAGTATATAGAAATGAATGAACTATACCTATTCTTTACTTTACTTTCTCCAAGTAATCCGGCATGGAGGTGCAAGATCTACTATGGTAGTCGCAATAAATGAACTCGGGTGGACAACGGAAAGACACTCCGCTTCCGCTCCGTTCGCCCACTTTACGCGGGCAACGCGTCGCGTTTCTCCGGGGTCGAGCATGCAACCATCATCGAAGAAGATAATAGGGACAATCAAACATTACTACTCAAAAATAATTCTCCACCATTGTTCAAGTTGGTATTGAGACTTCTCTATACCTTGCCATACTTCAGTCACTGCAAACTATATCAACACCTGCCAATCTCTTCTCACAAAGCAAGCATGTTCGCCATCCAAGCAGCGCCAAAGTCGTCTGCGACTGAAGCTCGACCGTCAACGGATCGGTTCACTCCGAACATCCTCCCCTGCAAAATCCACTACGATGGGCCCGTGAAGACATTGAATCGGTATTGGGAACCCCAAGCCGACGAGAAAGGTAAGAGTCGCAACGCCAGCTCTTCGTACTCGCAATTCGCTCGCTCATTGATGGGAAAACTCAACAGAGAAAGACGTACAGATCGCATATTTCCGCGGTCGTAGGCTCAAGGGTCGACAGGTTGCTATTCCAGAAGGCTATGAAGGTGCGGGAAACAAAAACTTCTTGCGGAAATTCTTCCCTGACTCCCCAACTCATAACATCTTAGGCGTCATCGCAACAAGCACAGACCGTGTATTGCCCCCTACTCGCAATGAGAACGAAGCCGATGTTGAGGAAGTCCAGCCGGAGGAGCCGGTCAAGATTCTCGAGAAGCAGGGAACCTTCAACGAGTATATGGTTTGGGGGCATGAGTTGGTACCCGCGGCGGACGATGCCTTCGTGAAGGGGGTGGAGGAGTGGATCAAATTGGCTGAAGCGGTATGTGTGCATGCACTTTCTGGCCAGTTTTCTACTAAAGATCTTGTTGTAGATGCACGGCCAGCCCAGCAATGAATCGAAGCCGTCTTCATGAGCGACGCCCTCGAATAATAATACCAAAAGGTTTTCGCCCACCACAATGAGCCAAACGGATTCAGCTCTCGTCGCAGCGGCGCCAGCTTTTTCACAGCCGCATTCTTCACCCCGAGCCCAGGGTCAACCCGAACATGTTCGCGACGGGGCTCGATCGGCATTCTGCGAACGCGCAAATCGAAAGCATGGCGGGCATCAGTGTAGACGATGTAGTCCGTGACATACAACCGAGAAACGAATGAGGGTGGCCCAGGATTATGTCTACCATACAGATCTTGCTATCGGGAGGAGGAAAGGTACAGTATACACCCACGAGCATCACGGGTGAGCAATATATAGTTAGATTACATGGGGCTTTTCCGCTCTGGACTCGTCTTCTATCCACGAGTATATTTGCACTTTTGTTAAACAACTCTAAATGTCACAATGAGAACCCTATATGACTAAATGTTTGCATATATCATATTAGAGGCTGAGTAACTGTACGATAGTCAATGGATCTCCGCCCACGATTCCTGAGCAATCGATAAGAGGTTCACCGCCAACACAATTCTGCCCAACGAAGAATATCTGGGGTAAAATCATCAGCATTGACCTCTTCTACAACCATACCCCAATTTTGTCATTCCTGCAAGCCATTCTTCACAATGGCCAGTAATACAGACCGTCCTGCCCCGGAGGCTCTGATCTCCAAGTTCGAGGTCGACAGGTTGCTCAAGCAAGGTACGGTACTCCACAATCCCCTCACCTGCGGAGCTCGCCCCTCTCTCTCAGAACGCACCATCAAATGACCTAAATGGTATCGTGATTCTATACTGTGGACTGACACGGTTTTAAACGACTACAGACCAAAGCGGCCGCCGCATCGTCATCCTCGGCGCCATCGATGGCCAACAGGGCATCCTGATCGCCGAACGCGCCGCCTTCGCAACCGAGACCCCTGCCGTCCTCCAAGCCTTCCACGCCGCGATCACGCACGTCACCAACCTCGGCGACAATGACATCTACCGGTGGTACCTGGCGTCCTCCAGCCCCGACGCCGGCGGCCAGCAGCCTCCCGACCTCAAGCTGAACCTCATCTGGCCGTGCACGGACTCCCACATCAAGAAGTACTCGGAGCAGGTGGTCCGCATGGTCACCGAGACGCCGGCGATCTACCGCGACCACGTCCGCCCGTACATGCGCGCCAAGCGCGAGGAGGGGCGGCTGAACTGGGTGTTCAATATACTCGAGGGCCGGACGGAGCAGGAGGATGTGATCCTGCGGGATGAGGGGAGACGACACCACGATGGGGCGGCTGATGATGATGATAATGATGATGTTGATGATGATGGATTTCTGATGTTGCCGGACTTGAATTGGGACCGGAAGACCATGGGATCGCTACATTTGCTGGCCCTGGTGCAGCGGAGGGATATCTGGAGCTTGCGCGATCTCAAGAAGAGACACATCCCGTGGTTGAAGTATCTGCGGCAGCGGCTGCTCGAAGGAACGGTGAAGATGTATCCGGAGCTGGAGCAGGATCAGTTGAAGCTTTATGTGCACTGTGAGAGAGACTCTTTCGCTATATGTTTTTTTCCTCGGTTGGACGGTCTTTTGCTAACACCAGTCGCTTGACTTGCCAGACCAGCCAACATACTACCATTTCCATGTCCACGTCGTCAACGTCATGCTGGAAGCGGGCGCTACACAGGCCACGGGGAAGGCGTTTGGGTTGGAGAATCTCATCTCTCAGCTAGAGACTCTCTCCGGCGACGAGGATGCAGGCATGGCGGATGTGAGTCTGACTTACTTCCTTGGAGAAGCCAGCGAGCTATGGACGAACGTCTACGGACCATTGAAGAGAGGAGAAAAGCCGCTGGCCGCATGAGATGAGGACCATATAGATCGACACTAGATATTTGATGTTATGAGCCAGAAATGACATGATGACAATTTTTTTTCTTCCAGTCACCCTTAGTCCTACGATTTCTCCAAGATTTGTTTTGTATTTGCACGATGACGTTTTGCCCGCCCTTTGCCCCCCATCCCCCGAGACTTTTCCCAACCCCGCAACACCGAAAGCCAACCCCTCACCAACCAAACAAACCATCTTCACTTACTTTTCTGCACACGCTCTCCCACCCACGCAACTCTTCATTTCCACGTCCAAACCAAGACCTGCAATTACCTTAGATCTGAAACCACCAAACCACACCGGTTGATTCCTCCCTCTACCACCCGCAACAATGGCCGACAACCCGGACGTGGAATCCACCAACAAGGCCTTCGTGCCCCTCGGTACGTTTACACACACTCCCTCCAAACAACACCCTATGCCCCCCCTCAACTAACCACAAATTGTGTATAGAAAATAACCCCGAAGTAATGACCCACCTAATCCACCAACTCGGCCTACCCCCCACGCTAGCCTTCACAGACGTCTACTCGATCGACGAACCGGACCTCCTGGCCTTCGTGCCCCGGCCCTCGCACGCCCTCCTCCTGGTCTTCCCCGTCTCCGCGACCTACGAAACGGCCCGGATCACCGAAGACAGCGGCCTGCCCGCCTACACGGGCTCGGGCCCCGCCGAGCCCGTGATGTGGTTCAAGCAGACCATCCGCAACGCCTGCGGGCTGATCGGCCTGCTGCACGCCGTCGCCAACGGCGAGCCGCGGCGGCAGATCGTCGCCGGGTCGGACCTGGATGTTCTCGTGAAAGACGCGGAGGCGCTGGACCCCGGGCGCCGGGCGGATCTGCTGTACGAGAGCAAGGCGCTGGAGAGCGCGCACGCGGACGCGGCGCGGCTGGGCGACACGCAGGCCCCGCGGGCGGAGGAGAACGTGGATCTGCACTTCGTGGCGTTTGTGAAGGGGGCGGATGGACGGTTGTGGGAGTTGGATGGCCGGAGGAAGGGGCCCCTGGAGCGCGGGGTGTTGGGCCCCGGGGAGGATGCCTTGAGTGAGAGGGCGTTGGAGTTGGGGGTGAGGCGCTTCCTGCAGGTGGAGGCCCGGGGCGGGAATCCAGATTTGAGGTTTAGTTTGGTGAGTTTGGGGCCGAGTTTTGATTGATTCCGGTGGATGGATTTGGAGACGGGGGTTGTATGTTGTTTCTTGCTCTTGTATTCCGCAAAGTAGGGTCGATAATGGGGATATAGCTGGTTGTCTTCAAGGTTGCAGGGACGTAAGGTAAAGGTGGTCCCTTATACCTTTGTTTCACATATAAATTGGGCAATCGGGTTATGGGCAATAGCAATGCAATGGCTACTGGGACAATGAGCCCGACATAAATACCCAAACCCTCGATAATATACGCACAGACTGAGCCTTCAATCAAAGCCACTCATGTCATGCCATGCCATGCTATACCATCCAATCAACTCTCAACCCACCATTCCTCCGCATTGAACTTCAGAGCTTCATCCCCAACCGCCCACCATCCCGCCGTGAGATTGCGAGCAAATACCTCCAAGGCCGTATACCGCATCCCAGCCTTGTCTCGAGGACTGCGATCAGAAAAAAACACCTGCTCAAAGACCTCGCGCAAGTTTGGCTTGCGCGAATGAACATCCGGCACAGCCGCAATCACTCTTCGCGTGATGCTCCCCTCGCCGTCTTTTGCTGCGGGGTGGGACTTGAGATGGCTGTCGTCGTCCCGAGAGGCAGAGACAGAAAGATCTGCCCTCCTCCTCCCAATCACCAGGATCTCGTAAGGCTTCCGCCAGAGCGCACCCACGGGCGTGATGGGCTCACCCTCTGTCGTCGTCTTCACCCACACCCACTCTTCGCAGACCGTCAGCCCGGCCCCCTGGATCGCGTCGTAGGCCGTCTTGCGGGCTTTCCCTGAGTTCGTGATCCAGATGGCTGCGATGGCGCTCCTGCGACGGCCGTCTCTACACTGTTCAGCGGCCTCCGCCTTCGCCTCCTTGCTGGGCGAGGGAGAGTCCTGGACTAGATGGACGGACAGGACATTGCGAATGCGCTGGGTGAGCAACTCCCAGTCGAGGTAGGTCTGAGTGTGGTAATGACCGCTGCGACGGACGGAGCGGTTGGCCCAGGGTGGGTCAAGCAGAATGAGATCGAACTTCCGGTGGTGAGGGAGGCCTGGGATGGGGGTTTCTGCGTTCGCCACGGGGGTCGTTGTGATCGGGATTCTGCATTGAAGGAAGCTTGAGAGCGGCGGAATGTAGAAAGAGTGAGGAACAGGGCGTGATGATAGGTGATGAGGTCCCTTGTGACAGCATCGTTTATCGTCCGGTGTCCTCTCCAGATCCACCAAACAGGTAGCGTGCACCGTGGCTGATTCCAACGACGTATTGCGGACCACGAGGCTGGAGAGCTCCGACATGCAGCTGAAGCGGTTCACGCCGGGAGACACTATCAACGGGGGAATGAGGGAAGCACATGTCGCAGCATTGGAGGCAGCAGAAGCAGACTCGATCTGTATCATCGCAGCGTCCCCATTCCCGTGGCTATTGCGGCGTGTTCGCCCGGTCGTCCCCTTCCTCTTCTTCGGGAGGGCAGCTTCGTCACCCATTTCCCCATTGCGAGGTAGGTCCGGTGCGCTGGGGTCTATCTCAACCCGCGGAAGACACCATTGGAACCCCGAGTCGAGCGCACTGCGTATTTGGGATAACCCCTCCGTCACCAGGGGTTCGAGGATCTCGGAATGCAAAAGCCTCTCCGCAAGAGGGGTTCTTTCAAGAACTCTTGCCCGGGCTGCATCAGTTTTCGGCTCTGTACAAGCCGGATATGGCACCCTCAGTGGTGGTGTTGAGAGAAGTGTTCGATTCCTGTCGTTTTTAAGATTAGAAGGCGGCCTTGCGGAGGGCAAGAGTGCTGATGATTGAAATGGGGAGAGTGACTGCGCGCGAGCGATTGATGCAGGAATATCAATCAAGAAGGTGGTGGCCTGAGGATCTTGATAGAGTATAGCTGATGGTGACGGTGCTATCATACTCGTAGGCACATCAGCTAGAATAGTATACTAGGTAGTAGTCTAGACTAGAGCAGAGAGCAGTTGGTTGGTTGGATTACGCTGCGGTATTTTTCTCTTCCCCAACAAGAACTACGCCATACTGACTCGGGAGTCAGTAAGTTACCCTCCTAAGTATTATTACCCGGGCGGCGGCCCAGCCAAAAATGGCTTGCTGTTGACATGCGAATTAGACTTCATCTTCGTTGTAGCTCAATTAGGCTCCCCAACCACGCATGTACAAAATACAACATCTGAATACAAGAGGCCTCGATGAAAGACTGGAAAATCGCAAGACGCTCTCTGTTTTGATACCCAATGTAGATTATAGTGAACAGGAGATAGTTAGAGCCAACCTCCCCAAAGCGGTTATGAAATCACTTAAATGCTTATGGACATGGGCAACACCACGATGCTTCGGATAAACAATAAACAATAGCACTTTTTTCTCATATCAGTCCTTCCTCCATTTCCAAGACGATCCAGCGTCGGTCTAGGTGTGACAAAGGTCATTTCATGCATATAGCCATACTACTCTGTATCCCGGAAACTGCAAACAAAAGATCAAGTGAAAAAAAAAGAGAGAAACTTTATACATAAGGTTGAAGTTAATGGCGGATTAAAGCATCTTAGGGAATCCTCAATGCTGGAGGCAACCCCACATCAGCTTCGTTCACACAGGCGAGTCCCGGGCTTTCACATGTGCTGGGGGTGGCTTGGACGTCCACGCCGGCCTCCGGCAGACTGCGCCTGAGCTGGCTGTGCTTGGGCATAGAACTGTGAAGGGTACTGATACATTTGAGCAGTGCTCATGACGGGGCTGAATTGCTGAGGAGCGAAAGCCGCCTGATTCAACATCGAGCCTGGGTTGATTTGCTGGGTGGGAGGCCCGGCCAAGGAAGCAGCCTGAGTCTGCAAGGACCGGAGGTTGTCTGCTGAAGGAGCGCCAGCCGCAAACCCAAAGTTGGAGTTCCCGAGACTTGGATACAGCCCGGACGGCGAAAGGCCACGGCTTTGCGCCGCCAGATAGGCTTGATACTGTAGCTGTTGCTGGGCCAAAGGCATCATGGGGTCTTGGCCAAATCCGGGTGCGTTAACCCCTCCGATCCCGCCAAGAGGGTTGATACCACCGGCAGAACCAAGGTTGTTCATTCCATTGATGCTGTAAGGGTCGTAAGCTCCGGCACCGGGTTGCTGTTCCGAAGGCATAGGTCTGGTAGCGTCCATGTTCTGGTTAAGCATAGTAGGGAATGGCGCGCTATATTGCCTCTCCAAAGGCGGCTGCGGAGCGTAGTTCGAGGCTGCCTGGCGAGAAGTTGGACGGTGTTGTTGCTTGTCCGCATTATGTCCGTGATCACGTCCATGGTGATTGTCCCGGGCATTTCCACGCGAAGATAGACCAACTTCATCCATCAGGCGTTTATATCCTTGACTGGGGGTTGCCTTAAGTTTGATAAGAACCTTGGAAACATTCTTGACAACCTCGGCGCGCATTGACTCGTCAAAGAAAGGTGTAGTAAGAACCTTGAAAATCAGAGTCGCTCCCGAAGTCTGGTCACTTAGAATTCTTTCCAACACCTCGTCACCCGGACTGAAGAACAGGGCCTTCAGCACGATCTCACGGGCCTCAGGTTCATTTCGCTGATTGATGACCTTCAAGACGGTAAGATAAGCGACCTTATGAGTGCAGAGATGAACGAGATGAGGAACCAGCCTCGGTGCAAGCACAGTGCGGCGGTGAGGGAACGTGCAAGTATCGAGGAACCAAGTGAGCAGAAGGGCACCGTTGGCATTCGTTGCAAGTTGCACACTGTGAAGAGCGATGGCCGCAGCGAGCATACGCTGCTGGTCCTTTGTGGCATGGTGACTCTCAAGACAAGCCCGCATGGCCCGAGCACCGAATCGGCCCTGGGCAATCTCCCACATCCGACTGAGCATAGTCTCGAAGATGAAGTCGTTGAACGGGGCACCGAAGCGTAGACAGCACTGCAGTACGTAGTTTCCATACTGATCAAGGAACAGAGGTACAGTGTATGGCCGGAGAGCATCAACGATCAACCCCATCTGATTTGGTGTCTTAGCGACATCAATGATCTTCTGGGCGGCCCAGGTTCCGTTCTTATGAATACCAATTTCAGCGAGGTGGGGAGCAATCGGCGCCAGCATCTGTTCCTTGGTTGATTCGGAACAGAACTCGAAAAGTTTTTGAACCACGGTGTTGCCCAGATAGTCCGACGCCAATTCGGCAATCTCTGGAAGCATCGCAACTGCTGTCTCTTCGATTTCCTGTACAGAACAGGCACCATTGTCGATCCTCTTGCGGATATCGCGGAGGCGAGGGGCATCAAACATTCTTGTCTGGCTAGGTTCAGCAATCGAAGGGATCTCGTCCTCAAACGCATCAAACGAAATGGCGCGTTGAACACTAGCAGAGATGTTCAGAGCATCCTCTTCAGCAGCACCAAACTCCTGAACGATCTGAGCCATCTCTGGTTGGAGCTCCGAAAGAGCTGGGATTTGAGGGACGATGAGCCCGCCCTCGGATCTGGCCAGACCATCGGGCCCATTTACGCCTGCATTCGGATCCGGGGTGGGCGAGGACTGAGATCCATTGACCCCTGGAGTGCCACTTGCCGAGCTCCCAGGGACCTTAGCATATCCAATACGAACAGGGCCAGCACCAGGGAAGATCTCCTTGCCGTTAAGCAACGACTTGGCCTGGATAGCGCTTTCAATGCGCTCGAAGTTGACGAAACCGCAATTCTTGTGAGTTAGCACACGGGTGGACTCAATTTTGCCGTAAATGCTGAAGATCGCTTCGAGGGACGTGACCGTGGTTGAAACAGGGATGCTTCCAATCCACAGTGCGCGAGTCGGCCCATCCTGGTTGTTCTCATCGGCCATTTCCGCCGCAGGCCGCATGCCGAGATTAGCAGCATTATGGCCACCCAGATGCATCAGCTGCACGGCTTCGGACAGTTCATCGTATTCTCCGCTTTCCGCAATGTTGAGATCAGCCGCACTGAAGCTGTTTTCCAGACGCGATGGTGTAGCCAGGTAGTTGCGAATAGACGAACGCTGAGGCGGCGCTTCCAGAATTCCAGCTGTCCGGGCACGAGGACGGCTGGCAGATGCGTGATTGGCGAAAGCCTGCACAGCCAGGTTGTGCTGGTGTATCTGGGCCTGAGTTGCAGCCAGCTGAGCAGCCGTCGCGGCAGCTGAGGGCGTGACGGTGCCTGACGGGATTTGTGCATATCGGCTCTCGTATTCCAGGTCCTCGTCATCCGCATATTTTTCCTTGGCATTCACAGAGTAGGAACGAATTCTGCTGTTGTTCTTCATCATCGCCAGTTCCGCAAGTAGCGGAGGAAGGGAAGACTGCTGCTGTTGCTGCTGCTGCTGTTGGAGAAGCATGTCAACTGACGGCCGCACAAGTGTTGCTCGCGGTTGTTGCGGGGTTTCGGCAAGGCCCAGATAGTCCAAGGTTTTGACATCAGTATCGGCGAGACCGTCTCGAGAGAAGGACGAATGACTTGGCGAAGCCGGGCCCTCAGAGGATCGGATGCTTGTTAGTGTCGTAGCCCGGTCGCGGCCTGTTGCCCAGCTAGTCGAAAACAGAGACGGCCCGAATGGACCGGAGGTTCCGAGGAAATTTGCTCGCTGCGGCATAGAGCCAGCTCGGAGACGCGAGAGGGAGCCTGCGCTATTTCCGCCTGCGGTAGTTGCAGTCTTTGCGCCTGTGTCAATGCCAGTAACCCCGGTTGGACGGAAAGGGCTGGTCGAAGGCGTAGGCCTTGAGGTCTGGGGTATGTAAGGTTGTTGAAGATTCGCTTCGTTCAGCGCACCGACGGGTGAGAACCTCGAGGGAACGGTCCCAGCTCTAGCTCTTCGAGCAGTGCTATTCATCGAGCCGCTCGAGGTGGGCACTAAGTCGGGAAATCCTTCTTGGCTTGGGGACTCGGGGATGTTCTCGCGCAGGGGGGTTGAATGGCCACTGGTCGGGGGACCCCAGATACTGGGAGAAACACCTTCCTCTGCTTGAATTTCACGTGCGCTAGAATGAAGAGCGGCTAACGTCAGTCATCGGGGCATTCAAATACAACTCTACTTCATCGCGGACGTAGAACTGCCTACCGTTTCGAGTATAAACGTGCACCGAGTTCATGGGATGGGGATCCAGCCCCTAGCCTCGCACTTCCAATGGAGCCTGCAGCACCGTTCAGGCCGGTTGATGATCCAAATGGCGGCTTCATACCAGCAGACCCTGATAGATCGCTAGGAGAGCTGCGCCCCGTGCTGGTTCCCGACATCGGTTGGGTAGTTGGAATATAATTGAGGTTCATGTGGCCCTCGGGTCGTGAAACGGGTAACATTATGTATTATATCCCTCCACCTCAACAAAGGCGGACACCTAAAACTTAGCGCACTTGAGGATGATAACAAAGGATGATGGTTTCCGTAGGGATTGCCAAATTGTTGTTCAGTCAAAGAGCCAATTCGCGCGATTCGTATGCCAGTCCGATTATTAGGGTGACGGAGAGAAGTGAAGCGATAAACCGCCGGAATTTGGGTGAACAGGCAGTGAACAATTCTGCGTATGGGTATGAGAGTACTCAAATACGCGATGCGTCGCTGCGCGGTGTGAATGTGCTTGCAGCGTGGATCGGCGAGGACTGGTTCCAGAAGAATACGTATGCTCTAACGATCACAAAAGGCCAAGAGCAGGGCAAAAGAGGTGCAAAATCGTGAAAAGCTGTGCGTAATCCGTTATGAGGGGACAAGTCGACGGGTATGGCACTCGGGTAAGAAATGTCTTAGACCAGTGTCCAGATTCGATGGCCACGATCTACCGCCGTGATCAGATCTCAATGATTGATTTCCCACTAAAACACTCGGCTCGGCTCGAAACGACCGTAAAGACTCGCGGTGTTGTCTGGACAAGCAACTCGAGCGACGGGGAGGAAAGTTGGTAGAAATCAGGA